TACGATGATTTAACCCCTTCAGTATGATGATTTAACCCCTTCAGTACGATGATTTAGCCCTTCAGTACGATGATTTAACCCCTTCAGTATGATGATTTAACCCCTTCAGTACGATGATTTAGCCCTTCAGTACGATAACCCCTTAAATACAATGACTTAAAACCTTCAGTATATGTGAGGTCAGGGCAATTAAAAAAAAATTCCGAGGAAGTAAATTTCAAAAGTCACTTTGCCCGGGACAAGTAAGTGTTCCACATCATCTGGACGGCCTGATAAAGTAAGTGAGAGAGAGAGAGCGTATAAACAAGCGAAAAATAGAAAGTGATGGAAGAAGGGAAGTAGATGGATAGAAAACAAAGATCACGAGAGAGAGAGAGAGAGAGGGAGAGAGAGAGAGAGAGAGGGGGGGGGATAAGCCTTGGGTGAGTGACGTCATGGCATCTTATTTAACCTTTGACCCGCCTTAGATTTATGACCTACTCTACGACTCTTTCTCTCTCTCTCTTTCTCTCTGACTAAAAGTAGGAGCGTAAATAGAAGATAGAGAGGGATAAATACATGAGGTTTAGAGAAGGGGAATGTAATTGAGAAGCAAAAAGAAAATGTAATTGGACTGAATTAACAAGAATAAGAAAATGGAAGATAATTGGTGTAAGAAATGAATGGATAAATAATACAGGTGAATAAACGAAAAATAAATAAGAAGAATGAGGAAATAATGGGTTATGAAATAGATAAATGTGTATAGTGTGTAGACAAAGAGTATTAGTGAATTTTTGTCACTTCTTTTACCGATGGTTTAATTTGTGATAGCTGTTCCGTATCATGCAAACTACTCTACCTTCGTTAGTCTTTACGTATCGCCACACCCAGTAATAATTCCTAATTTAGTTTTGATTACGCGCCGTTACATCTCTTCATCGAGGGAGCTGTAACCAAAATATATTAGTCTACCCAGCATGAAACATTTTCTGTGAATACGTTACATTAGATGTAAGATAAACTCTTTTATTTTAAGACATATAAAGAAAGTTACAGTTAAAAGATAAACATGATATCAAGAATGTGTTATCATCGTCACAGGTCTCACTATCGTCATTATCGTCGTCTCCTCGTCTCCAGAAATCCAGGGCGAAATTTAGCTCCGATTTTCAACTGCTTACATTCTGGCTGTTTTCGTCAATCGGTTATAAAACACATTTGACTCAATTAAAATTCTGTATAAAATAGGTTTGATTTATAACTGAGAATGAACCGTATGTCGTTGTGTTCATTAACTCTTATGATCTCCATATATCCACTCCTTTCCACCTTCTTCCTCTTCTTGTGGACACTTACCTCCCTCCATCCCCGTTTCTCACCCGTCACCTCTCCCTCAGTTCCTCCTCCTCCCCTGCCGCCACCTTCAGGGCGGCCTGGTGGCTGTAATTGGTAATATTTCTCCTAGAAGTTTCAATTAAGGGAGGCGTGGCCCACGGGTGCCCCATACCGCGTGGGGCGGGGCGGGGCGGCACCGTGTGAGGCCCATCACTGCCGTAAGCGGCTATCGCCACCCTTATGAATACATATGCAGATCCAGGTGGCCTATCGCCGGCTGATGGATGGTGGTTGTTGAGACCCTTGATGGATATCCTTCCCAGAGCTCTGTCGCAGGGGCTACCCAGGGGTGATGTAGGGAGAGGGAATTTGTCTTCCTGTACGGGGAGGTTAAAGGAGGATGTGACCTCTCTATAGATAAAGGAGCTATGTTTACCTTGCAATTTAGAGGGAGTTAATTGGGTAAATATCTGATGAACAATGATGGGAAGCTTGCCATAAGGGCAAAATGTTTCTTATTGTGTTATGTACGAAGCTAAGAGTGAGTGGCCACCTGTTTGTGTACTGAGTTATAGTCAATACCAAAATCTGTTTCTAGATCTCGTGGTAGTGAGTCTTGTGTTATGTATGGGGGTTTTATGCAAATTTAATGTGTATCAGTATGCAGTATATGTTTGTTGCGTGTTTATCGTGAATGTATATGAGTCAGGCAGGTCAAGTTAAGTGGTTAATTAATCTCAGAAAGTTTGTACGTGACATAGCTTTATTTTCTTACCGTGCATCTCCTTTCGAGTATTGCTTAGTTAACATCCACGTTCGTAACTTGCCGACACACTCTTAGTTGCTTACGGTCTATAGTGTACTCTATATATCGTTATGTAGTGAAGATCAAACAGTAATTCATATCTAAAACTTCCCCTCTGGCACAAACGGCTAGGATTATTAGCTTGGAGAATCAACATTAAAATTCATTCTTTTTGTTCGGTTAAAAGTTCGGCACCAAAGACCTGAGTTTCGTGGTCTCGTGGTATTAGACGTGGTGTAGACATATTATAAGCATGGTGTAGGCGTGTCAGTGCGTGGTGCTGGCGTAGGATGGTGAGCCGAGGCGTGTGCGGGCGTGGCAGGGTTGGAGCATGTTCAGCTAATGTAATGTTCACGCGCGCCGGAGGACAGGTCGGAGCTCCTGCCCCTGACACTACGCCTCCACCTCCTCCCAGCCCTCCACCTACCAGCGTTTATAACAAGGTAATAATTAGTGCTCAGAAAAGGGGCCACATGTAAGAAAAGGCCACCCTACCTTCTTTCCTTAACACCCATGGCCACTACCCCACAAAGAGCCACACTCTCGCCCCCCGTCAGTGACATCATCACCCAAACACAACCTTTGATGCTCCTGGTGGCGAGGCAGGAGTCACGATGCCTCCACGTGGGTGTCTGGGGTCAGCTGTAGCGGTTCCACCTGCCCCTGCTGAAGTGATGCCCTCTTTCATTTTCCCGTTCAACTGTGGTTTCTTTCCTCCTCCTATTCCTATCCTCTTCTCCTATTCCTCTCCTCTTCTCCTATTCCTCTCCTCTTCTCCTATTCTTCTCATCTATCTGAATTGATACTGCTTTTTGTTAACATCATACTTAAGTTACAATTGCTAGACTAGTACAGCTTTCTTTTGTCTGATGAACTGTTGCTGTACTCTCGATCCAGCTGAACTATTCTAGACCCTACTGCCTTGTATCACCTCTTACCACCCATCACCCCACCATACCCCCTCCCACCACGATTACCCGCCTCCCACCACCATCACCTCCTCCCACCACCATCACCTCCTCCCACCACCATCACCCCTTTCCACCCACCACCCATCCCCACCACACCACCCCTCCCACCACCCACCCCTCCCACCACACCACCCTCCCACCACCTATCACCACCCCGCCAACTGAACTCTGCCCCCAAGAATATATAAACTGCATGAAGTTGATATAGTAGTTTTAAAAATACCGTACAATAGATTAAATACTGATTTATTACAATTTGCTGTGACTGAAGAGTTTATTGAGAATCTTTTACTCGGTTCATCATCAATTGACCTTCATTTAGCCAGTGGAGGTGTGTACAATGTATTAAAATGTTGAAATTGTTATTATCAATATTTTAATCATGATAAGAACATTTGCAAAATATAAAGCAATCTACAAAATCTTATAAAAAAGCAATATTATACAACAGTACAGTATGCTTACGGACTAATGGGGTGAAGGACATAACTAAGGCTTAATAAACCTTCTACTTAACCAATACAGTACATTAAATAGCAAAATAAAATCACTTACTCTAATGGCCTGTGCCATTCTTTGGCAATAATGAAAACACTTAGCCTATTTGTGGAACTCTTCTGCATCAATAATAAAGGCTAGTAATTTCCAGTTATCCTGTGCCAGTTTCACCAAAAAAATTAAAATAAAATTTTAAAACAACAGGATTTTTACAAAGGAAAATTACTATGGAAATTTCAAATTTCTCTTAAATAAATTCTCAACACCTAATGCTGACCACAAGATCACACTGAATATTTGTATAAGATAAGCACGCACATATGAAGAAGTCCCATACAACAAGCATTGAAGTCAATGAATAACAAAATTATACACAGCAGAGGTTTTGTTGTATATATATATAAAACTCCAAGCTACTGCAGAACTGTTGTTTTCATGCTCTCAAGTCTTATGCATGGCATTTAGTCATTTATCTCCATATCACTCCACATTTCTCACAACTCATCCCCCAGCCCAGAACAGCTGTCTTTAAAATACAGTAAATTCATGTGACTGTGTTTACAAATAACAGTACCTGTACTGTATATACAATACCAACTCTCTCCTGTCACACTTCTCATTAAGTCGTATTGTTCCATTATCTCCACCACTATTCCACATACCCTATATACGGTATTTATATATGAATAATCAAAATAGTAAGATAAAGTACATTATACATACCCGAGTAATAATTAAGTTTAAAATTATCACTTTACATTTCCACCCAAGAATTGGTTCACTTACCACTGGCCTTAAATTGGTTCTGTGATTAAACCTTTTGGATTCTGGACAAAAGGCAGAAACTATACTTTGCTTCCCTACCTGATGGTTATGTGATAATGACAAACCATAGATAACAATACATATTATACAACTCATTGCTTGGAAATAGTAGGACTACACTTATGGCAGACAGGCTCAGTATCATGTGTTACACCACACAGTTACACAGCCAACTTTTCAAGTGAAGATATGTACACTCCTGTATACTGTATTCAATAAATCAGTGAAGAGTTTAGATTAATGAAGTGTAATCAGGATATAAGAGAGAAGAAATCCACTATTATAAGTTTATCAGTCTTAACCTCTTTGATGTAAACAAGTTTATAAAGACTATTAAACTAAAACCAACATACTGTACAGTACTGTGCTGCATTAAGCTGACCGTTTGGTTGATATAGGGACGGGGGGGGGGGGATCTCAATTGTTCTCATACTGCATTCACGATAAGCATACAGTACAGGATTTCAATTATCTTTAACCCCTTTTCACACACTCCCTCAAAATTACCAATTTTCAAAAATCGATTTGTCATTGAAATTATATTTTGTAGCATTTTAAGACTTTGGGGGAAGGTTTTTTTTTTGTGTACGAACATACCAGTATAAGCGTATCTCGGCTTTTTATTGGGAGTCTATTGAATATGGGATCCAATTTACCAATACTGTACTAAATCGTTCATAAAAGTTTTTCAGGTATGGAACCTTCTCGTAAATCGGCACCTGACTGTACTGAAAACAAGAAACTCTATTACACCCATCCATTACTGTTAAATCTATTCCCCAAGGTGTTCCCTTGCCAAGAACTTAAGATATCTTAAATAGGATAATTTGAACTGACTGAGGTTATATGACATAGGTGAAGCACTTTGTGGCAGAGTTACACAGACTGCTAGTCCAGGTTATAAATAACTTTTGTGCAGAGGTTCTGCATAACGAAATTTCATCATAAAGTCATGGACACTCCCAGATACCCACGTGGGCTAATTGAGGTTGTGTGAGTTATAGCTCGTCACAACACTGATCGTGGAAATACATACCTATAGGACAGGGAGAGAGATGAGATACCTCTGTGCATGTGCAATGCTGGAAATTCTCTGGTAAGGATATTAATGTTGTTTGTTTTGAGGCCTTTTCTCTGCACTGTATCAAAGAGGTAGTGCCGACCACTACACCCAGCCCATAGACAACAATAGTATTCCATCTGAAAGTGCACATGACTTACCAGTACCTAAATGGATGTCAACTGTTCATCAGTGAAGTAGGTCCTAACCCTAAACACGAGTCCAAGCTTCATTATAGTTCTCCCCACCACACACACACTTGTTCCAACATTTAACTGGATTTCCCAAAGATTGACAATACACTGCATGAATACTGATAAAAGTAATGACACTTTATTACATAAGCATAGTGATTTAAAGCATTGTAGTACTTAAACACTAACAATAAATAAAATATTACAAAATCCCAGACACTAGTGCTGTCCCTAAGTATGGGTATACATTTTGATTGATTAACCACCAAAGCAACACTTTTAAACATGAATTTTCCTGCACTAATACCAACAACAATACACAACTTCATCGGTGCAACATAAACAAATACAAGTACAGTACAATAAGCCATAAGTTTAGTGGATCATGAACTGCCTCACTTCCTGCACCTTTATGATCTCCATAACATTTCCAAACATGGTACACTTATGAAATTCATCAAAACTTGTTATAATAATCACAATCAATATCTGAAACTGCTGGGCCAAATATTTTACTGTGGGGCTATTCTAGTAATACTGTATAAATAATGACAAGAGTTATTATTTCTTCAAAAAATACTTTGAGACACCCATTTCCTTTCATATTAGTTGCGTTTAGATGGTGTATTTGAATTTTCAGCCACCAATACGTAGAGTCTTTCAACACATTTATAATTACAAACTTTTCTATTAATTTAGTCTGTGTATCTTTAGCATATGCCAGAGGAGACTTTGCCTTTTTGTACTATGTATTCTTCAGAAAGATTAGGGGACAGTAAAACACCTATACAGGTATCCATCACTATATGAATGTGCTAATAAAAGAACGTACTGTATGGGAAAAAATGGGTTCGGTTCCCCAATGAAACGAAAGCCTTAATATCATACCCCCCCAAAACAGTAGATTCAGTGTTCTTAGGTAGCTTGAGTCAGAAATCTCCCATCCTCTCAAATTTTCCGCCTTCTAATATAGAACAGTATGGATCCCCACTCAACCCGGAATTTCAGCCAAATCAGACAGGCCTTCCCCTCAATTAGTCTGGATTACAGGAAGTTTACTGTATAAGGATACATTATTACCTAGCAATTATTCCTGCACCTGAACTGCCATACCTGCTAAAGATAGACAAAAGTGGGCAAATTTAATAGGTCAGTTCTCCCAAATCTACTTTATGCCTTTAAAATTAATAAAAAGATATACTACTGTATTTCACACACTAAGGCCTTGATATGCAATTTACCTATAACACTGGCAACTATAGAGACCCATCCAAATGATCTTTTGAGAAATAAGTCAGGGTTATCTTGTCTTTAGTTTACTGATGCGATTTCTGGTGAAATGCTTCAATTAATAAAGTGTAATGAAATGTTACTTCTATGTATGGACACTGTTCATCTACCTCTAAGGTACATAACTCTTTGGTTCTATAATGGATGGACTTGAGTATTTCAATCTTATGATTTGGGCAGGAGTCTAACATGTAATAGTGTACAGTATATGTGAGCCAGGACACTTCACTTTAAATAACTACAACACCTGCAGAAGCAAGCACAATACATTAAAGAGAGACATTAATAAACACACCCACAATTCAACATCCAGTAGCAGCTTAATATTAAAGGAGGGAAATAAAGTAATGCCTTCAGCACAAGTGAAAAATATTTTTTTTTTAAATAAAGTACAGGTAATATGAAGCTAACTTCTGAGCAAGAAGAAAATGCCAATCAACAGAATGTGCTGCTCTACAAAGAGCAAAACTCTCCTTTATCGATGGTCATATAATTATCATCCAGTGAATAATGATCAATTCCCAAAGAAACAGACTCCCTAACCCAAAGAAATATTCTTCCAATAAATGAAAATCAACTCCCAAATGAAAGAAATATACATTCCTCTTGGAATGAGTCAACTATCATTGAAAAAAACAAAAACAAAAATCTCCACACAATGATGATAAATTCTAAGAGACAAATATACTCGTGCAAAGAGTGCAAAGACCGGTGACCATCTCTAATGAGAGAAATGACTCCTTTATGGAAGAGCCATGAGTCACTGTGTAAATAGCTTAGGAATACCTTTCACAGAATAGAAAGCCATTCTTTATTATAAAGATGGAATGCTTTATCAACAAGAAGTAAACATCACTTCACAACAAAGAAACTTTCCATAACGAAGAGGTCAAGACAATTTAACAAAGAGGTAAAGGAATCTTTGATATTGCAGGTCAATGGGGATTTGAGTGCAGGAGAAATCTTTGGTACTGGGGTTATGGAAGTGTGAGAACAAATATAAATCGATTGTACATCATGTGTAAGGGAGTTTGAAGGATGAAACTAGCTTACAGTAATGAGACCCTGTAGTTCCACATGTACACACTCGACAAAACTCCTCAAACACCTGGGCATGATGGATGTGAGAATGAGCTGATTGGGGCTTGTCATCTCGGATTGGTTTCAGATTCTTCGTTCATTTTCAGACTACATACATTGTGCTTATAGCGTTCAAGAAGTTTTTGGCGAGAATGTACATGATGGTGGAAGTGGTAAAGACACAAGACAAAATTAATTGGTGAAAATCAATTGTAAATTTATTCAGTCAAAAGATGGAAAGAAAAGTGTCATTCAACCAACGAAAGATGAAACTCAAAACTTTTACATATATAAGCCAGTTGTGTTGACAGGGAGAGTCCTACAACTTATGAGATACCACATGAGCGAGTGCCTTATTTCTGAAGCATTTACAAGCTTTAGGATAATGTAGACATTAATTTATTTCAAGAAGCTATGTTAAAAATCTGATACTAAAGCAGAAAATAGGTTCATCAGATGGATATAATGAAATGGATTAAAAGCATTACAACTGCATGCATGTTATTTACTGACAACATTCTGCATGTGGAAAGAAGTGTCCCCAAGTTATTAGAGTACAAAGATTAGTTGGTGTGCATGTTGGTGTGCATACAAAGTACTTAATCCAGTAACAGTACAGTATACTGTATACAGAATTACTTAAAATAATAATTATAATGAAGATATAGTTGGCAATTCTTTTTGTAAATTACCATATACTAATAATAAATTGCATTTCATTAGTAACTCTCGTATTTGTAATTTCATTGTTAAAATCTGCAGGAGTTGTAATATATATGTAAAATAGCCATCTAGTACCACAAAGACGGAAAATTATATGAACACATTAAGTCTTCGATGAATACTTACTCTTGCATAATATAGAGCCTCAAATATACTGTATTGCAAATATTTATATAAAAATATAAAAAGTACACTAACATTTATAAAGTACATTAAAGTATACTGAGAGAGATCTATCATGATGTACTGTACTTCAGCCTTCAATAGTGTATTATGCTATAAATATGAGAAGCATCAACCAATAACAAAGATAGTCTGGTTAGTTTATATCAAGTACATACAGTATTGGTTTCCTAGTTATATGGTTACAAAAACGTGTATATATTTCAAACACTAGTCTTGCATATTAGGTAACAGTTTCAAACAGGCCCCTGATGTTAGTGATAAAATATATATCTGCCATGTCTACTAATACAGTACAGTATGTAGGTACTGTACTGAACTTTGCAAAAATGCTAGATACCAGGACCACTATGTTATAATACAGGAATTCAGTGTGCACCTCTCCTTAAACTGCACTCTGTTACACTATTATGTAGTATGTTACTGTACTAATAATTATCTGTCTGACATTCAAATAAAACTCATTATGAAAAACTTTGACATCAATACTTGGTGCAATGAGAGAGACCCACACCCATTAAAAAAACCAGTCTCTCATGGGGAATAAAATGTCACTGATAAAGCAAACTGAATTCCTGAATATGAATAGCACCACTATAATTCTTATACCAAAACTGACATGGTTTGTTGCATACATGCAGAGGTGACCCAGAGAGCTTTAAGTCATACTGTAATAAGATAGTCCTTCCATCCTGGTTAAATATCTACAGTACTGTATGTATACTACACAGACTGTGACTCAAACTGTCGTCATCATCATTAACTCAGATCGACTCATCATCATTACCTTTCCAATGTTCCTTGAGTAAATCGACTAATTCCATAGCTTCAGCTTCTTTTTTCTTCTTTACATAAAATTCTATACATAACTCTTGTAACTGCATTGAAGATTCTGAATTATGTTTAGACAATTCTGGGGCACTTAAATTTGCATCTTTAATTATTTCCAGGTCAGACAAACCAAGCAATGCAACTGAAGCAGGATTCTGCTGAAGAGTAGCAAAAAGGTTAGAGGCCCTTTGTTGCTCATCCATACTGCTATCTGTTTCATCAGAAACAAATAGAAGGTTACTGGGCACAGCCAGAGGTGAAGGTTTCCATACTTCATCAGCAGAGAGTAGAATAAGCCTCGTCTCCGGAGCTATTGTTTCCCAGTAATCATCATCCACCACTGTGCCATCTTCCTCCAGTACTACTGTTACTGCACATGGGTCTGGCAGGCCCAACTTAGCAGCACCTTTCTCTACGACTTCATCAAAGCTCTCAGCTACAACTCCGTGCCTTCTCTTTCTGTCTTGTGACCAAACTCGGATTGGTTTTTTCATCGTTTCTGAGGAAGAAATTTAATAAGTAAAGCGGTAAAGAATGAAACGTCCTCTTCTACGAGGCTGATATTCGCACAATTACAATGTCACTTGAAACGAGGAGAAACTCGGAATAAGTTCACCCATAGATATAGCTAAATAGGAGTAAACATATATACTCATGGATAGAAACAAGAAATAGGGTAAACATACTAATAGTACATACCTAAAGATATGATAAAGTTAATAATGTACCATGGCAGAAACAATACGTAAATTTATCACTACAGTCACCCACTTTCTAAGACTCAACTACTACATACTCCTTCAGGTGAACAGGAGGGTGTCGAGACCACTCACATCCTCCAGCCACTTCTGACTCATACAACTGAGCAAGCTTTTGTACCCGCACCAACTTTGACCTGTCACCCTGGTAATAGAATTCATTGACACAGCCCAGGTACAGTAGCTAAAAACACTATCTGTGCACACTTTGTGGGAACCATACGAGACCATGGACGATAAATATTGGTATACGAGGGCTGTCACTAGTCGCAGGTAAAGTTTCGGAGCATATCGACCTCCACCAGCACAGATAGTTGTTTTAGCCACTTTACATATATCCAATGTTGAGTTTCTCCAGCCTTTCTGTTGGCACATAGTTACAGTACCGGCACATGCACAACACTTAAATCCAGACTCCCATTATAAAAGCTGAAATACATTCCTACAAAGAAAAAGACTCCCAAATGTTTTAAAATGCCACAAAACATGGTTTTATTAACACTAATTATAAACCCAAAATAAACAAGAAAGTTAGGTACACTTAGGCATTTCAGATGCCATAGAATGAAGAAACAAGTGATGAGTTTGAGAGGCCGTGGAGAACAGGACCAGCAAAGAGGAGTTGCAAGCCACCTGCTCAGGTGCTCGACAGGGGTCAGCACCACCTGGCACACCACCTACTGGTCCACATGTTGGTACTGTAACTCAAGGTCAGTGTTGGGCAAATCTACAGAAGGAGAAAAGTTCATTTAAGTGAACACTGTACTGTATTACAATCTGTAGCTCTGTGGAACCTAGTCGTGCACTTGAGCCCCTTTTTAAATCATCAGAATTTCCGGGAATGTTGTGATAATTCCTTAACAATATACCACACCCCAAGACTCACTTTACAGTTGGAAAGCGGCTATATCAAATAAGGTATTGCAATGGTGTTTCTGCTGGACGTGAGCGGCCCGGCAGCCAAGAGATGCGCACCTCAGTGTAAACAACTACACCACACAGTCACAGTTGGCTGAGTGCTCACTGTACTGCGTCTGTATTATGGAGGTGTGTGTCTGTAGGCATATTTAAATATAGCCAAAGTTTATATTGAAAATAAAATATTTTATTAAATTTAATTCAGCATACATATATTTAACGGCCATTTAGACATTTCAATAATCAATCTCCCACCTGAAGCTGTACGGTGCTCGTAATTTAATAACGTACCAGATAGTTTAATTTAACATTTCACTACTTACCAGCTTATTGGTCGGCTGGTCCGTTCTTTGTTACTTTATTATGAACTTTATTGTCCAGTGAGTATGCACATAACTGTACACTGAAATTACATAGTGTAGGAGGTGTGATTATAAAAGAAATAATTTCAGTAATTGGTTAAGTCATTTCAGTAACTGGTTAATATTTTCCTAAGAATAAAGTGCGAGGTTACAGAGGTCCCGTTGGCATCATTACCGCCCCCCTTCCCTCCAGCCACCTACCAACAAGGAGGTCAACCTCCTTGACCTTCGTAGTAACACTGCAGGAGCAGAAAACAATACCAAAAGTCTTGCCAAGCTTTAACCTGTACTTGAAAAAAAAAATTATCAGGGGCTAAAAACATTATCATTTTCAATTGTAAGTCTTGCCTCTACGTCAGTTTTATCAGTTTTTATCGCGCCAGCTATGACCAGCGTGGGAGTTTTAGCATGTGAACTGTACTAGCAACATTTCAAGGGTTCGGCCTTACCACCACTTGGCGTTTGTCACTGATACCAGCACCATGTACCACTGTCACCTGCTGGTAACGTTGGCCCTCGTGGTAGCAGTCTTAGGTCAGTACTTTTCAACATAATTTTGTTTTTTTTTAATTACCGAATCATTTTCTTACACAGGTGACTTCCCTAGTGGTCAGGCCATTCTCTACCTTACCACAACAAACATGGATCTTACGTCAGATCTATACCGCTAAATAGGACATGGATATCGATACAAAATAGTCTCAGCGTAATTCCAACGTGGTTTTGAAATTGAAAAAGTATGTTAAAACAGTTAATTTAGACAAAATAATACAGATACAGAAATTAACAACACTATTGACATGCCACTGAATCTTTCAAGCGCTCCTGCTCTCTTGCAAGATAAATTCTATTCATTTACCCCAAGAAAATTATAAAATAACCTATAGAGCATCATATGGATTAGCTGTGGCCATCAAACCGCAGCTACAAGGAGTCAGCTAAATGCGGTTTCATGTCTTCAATTAGGGAGAAAATTAAGTTCATGTACAGACAGATGGGTTGGTTCTCAGAGTGACCGTGTTGGCTCGTTATCAGTTAACACCTTCCCACGCTGCTACACTTATCTGTCGTGTCCCACTGCCCTCATTTTGGAGTTTGGTGTACTGTATATTATATTAAACACGAAACTATCCACAAGCAACGTGAAAAGTATGTCATCTCGTGTTGCAGAGTTATAAGAGGTTGCAAGGTGGTTGTGATTTATTTATTTATTATAATTATTTATCATTTCCATCATTTATCGACTTGATAACGTTTAGGACGGTCGGTGTGGCCCCAAGATTTTCGGATGTTCTTAAGTACTTACAGATCATATTTTCTCTTCAATAATTCAAATGTTCACAGTTATTTAATATATTCCATGATTATTTTCATATCTGATTTTGTGTGTGTGTGAGAGAGAGGTGTTCACTCATTAGGCAGGTTCAATCGAGTTTTTCGAAACCCATATGAATCCGCTACAGACTCATTTAACCTGGCGTACGTACACTCTTTCTCCCCCTCTGACACAGGTGCACCCCCTACCCACCACCACCTCCAGGATGGGCTCACAATCGTCGGCGGGGATGTGGCTGCGAGGGGCCAGTTTCCCTACCAGGTGAGCCCCTGATTGTATCTTGGTAAATATTCATACAAAATATTCATACATATATAACGGAAATTAGCCTAGGATGGTACGTAAAGTATTATTAATACTTATTATACTATTTTGGAACAGGCTGTGGCCTCACCAACACAAGAAATCCATTGGTGTTTCCAAATTCTTAGCGATAAACTTCATCAACTTTTTCCCAATACCTTTTAGTGTCTGATTCTTCCTTTATGATATCCCTTTAATCTATATTCTGCATTATTCCCTCTGGCGGTGGCAGTGTCCTTGGATAAAGTCATAATATAGTAGTACAGTAATCTTTCAGGCCTTGTGTTCTATATACTGTACTGTAGTGGTCGCTGACAAGAGTTAATTTATACTAGGCTGGAGTCAATCTACTTTTAAGTCTTTTGTCATCAAAATTAAACCTACAATATTACCTTCCCTCGTGGGTTCCGACACATAATGTATGATAGGTAAATTTTGTGCTGTCATTGAATTCTACCTGGTGACCATTTGTTGTGATTCAGATGTTGCCTTAACGAGAGTGTGAAGGTCTGTTATCTCTCCCATTAGTTCACAGTAAGCGCTCTACCACTCACCTAATATCGGCTTATTGTTATTTTGTGCTATTAAAATCACATCAAATAGATTCGTAAGATCCATTTCTCACTAATCCAAAGAACGTCTGGTCGTGTTGTATCTCCACACCCACACAACAATTCAGTGAATGTAGTATCGTCATTGTCATTTATTCTAGCCGATTGTGACCTTTCTGAGTTAGTACTGTAGTATTTACTTATAATTTCACCTCATCACTCTTACTAGCCGTTTGGGAGGTTAATGTTTTGTTTTAATTTGTAATGTACTTCGTTGTCCATTGTTAGTACAGAAGAAAACTTGGCAAGGCTAGTTGGTTCATACTGGATAAACACTTTTCATATCTATCCTGGGCCGCGAATTGAGCGCCCGCTACTGCTGCCCCACCAACACCCTTAAGTTAGAACTTTCACCTACAGTAGGACGGCGGTTCATCGGTGTATTAATCTATACATACATCAACAGGTGAGCTTCCAGGAAAGGGTCTTGGGCGTCTGGTTGCACTTTTGTGGCGGCACCATCATCCACCCTGGCTTCGTCCTCACCGCTGCACACTGTGTAGAAGGAGCGGACTTCACTGACCCCAAGGGACTGCGGGTTAGTCTTCAGTCTTCACTTAACGAAAATCACGTAAAATATACTGACAGGTTAACACTGATTTCATCATAGTCAGGAAATAGGAATATGACATCACTGGTTCATGCATTTATTAAGCAATCGTGATTTTCTATTTTGATATTACATGTGTTAACACGTGGAAGGGACAAATTAGTAATGAAAAGGCGGCCAGGGAGTTAAAAGCTATATTATTATATTTGGTTAATGATAAATGTTAGGCCATGATAAGAAAACGACCTTAAGGAAACTTTATTTTTACCAAAACTCGGTTCATTGAGAAAATTTACACGTTACATGATAGTATTTTCACATTAATATTCAGATGTGATTATCCATCGTACTTTAAATGTTCTGGAAACACCATGAAACGAGGCTACAATAATGAAACTATTTCCTTATTATATATAGCAGGGAAATGTTTTTGAAAATTAGGAAATATACTTGTGACTTAAGAAGGACGATCAGAGAAGGGAACAACAAAAGATATTGGGGCATGAAAGTGTCCCACGTGCCCCCCTCCCCCTTCCTTTCCTAAGACGCCCCTGATTAATAATAGGAATGTGAAGAAAAATTTAAATACGATAAAGAGAGAGAGACTAGTGAGGTGAGGCAAGCCACTACATATCTCACCATCTTTATTGACCCTTGACTTTATCATCATGTGACGTAATCAACACGTGACGTCAGCACTGAAGGATAAACGCATAGGACACTCAGCTACTCAGGCTAAGCATGCCATTAATCAAAAGGTTACTTTGTTGTTATGCGGTGTGGTGCAGTGCGGTGTGGTGCTGTGCGGTGTGGTGCAGTGCGGTGTGGTGAAGTGCGGTGTGGAGCGGTGCGGTGCACAGTACAGGGTATGGTCTGTTTTGTTTACCTTATACGTGTAATTAAGCGAACTTCAGTTATTTTAACGGAAGAATTACCAACTCTTTTTCTAATATGCATCGGGTGTGTTTGCAAACTTACCAACACACACATCGTGCCAATAATTCACAAATTTCACACTTTTACACTTTTATCCTTTTCACCACTGATCGGCTCGTTAGCCGCTTGGGCGATCGGCCACGTCTCTGATTACTTTTCCTTTTCTTTTCGCTTAACACATCTTCAGACAATTGAAAAACCCTAATTGAAACACTGCTGGGTTTAGGGGAAGGAAATGCACTTCTGAAGATAAATGGAAATCGAAAATTTCCTTAGTCGTAGTGACCCTATTTGAATTCGTCAGTAATATAGTCTCACGAGTACATGTTTCCCAGTTGTGATGTGTGTGTATTGTATCTACAGGTGGTGGCTGGGGAGCTGGACCTACATCATGTGGAGGGAGACGAGCAGATCGTTCACATTAATTTCATCGTCGAACATCCTTACTACGATCCGTAAGTTACACACACACAATAAACATTCCTTTCTCACACCAGTACATCTCACAAGCTTTTCTCACAAGTACCTCTCACTCACAAACCTTTCTCACAAGTACCTCTCACTCACAAACCTTTCTCACAATTACCTCTCACTCTCAAACCTTTCTCACAAGTATCTCTCACTCACTATTACCTCTCACTCTGTTTCAGCTAGTGACTTATTTTGTTATATTTCCAGTAAGGATTTATTTCTCTTTTATCTGTTTCATTTAAGACATTTGAATATTCTAGATGTTATTTGTTATCTTTTTCTACATTTTGCTTTGGATACTTGAGCAGATCCTGAACGAAGGCGTCAGGAATATGTGTCCATCTACATCCAGTGTGGGGATATCAATTGACGCTGGGCCGGGCATGAAAAAGAACTGTAGGCGCCTCCTTGCTAGTATAAAGGTGTAATGTTCAATAAAGAAATCACATTTTAACTACATTTTTAAATACGTGGAAGCCATCTTCAAAGTTTGCTAACTGTTAATGAAGCCTCTGTTGTCCAGGATTACTTATGAGAATGACATCGCCTTACTGCGGTTGGAGGAGCCCCTAGTGTACTCCGAGATCGTGGGCCAGCTGGAACTACCGCCGCCGGGCCAAAACATTACTGGAGGTTGTGTACTGTAGTTATCTGAATTATCACCTTGAATTTCATATCATAATGCTTAACATTTTTGGGGGTTCAGCTAAAGATTCATCCCCCAGCTTTATTCATATGAACATTAACCATCCTAACACTGAAATAAGCTGGAGTGGTGACTTTAGTTGATCCATATTTTATTTATACAGTAAATATGACACTATCCTGAATAAACCGATCAGCGTATTTACAATCATGTCGCTGTAGTTTTTTCTGTCTTAAGAATTTTCCTCGAAGTCTTATGATATCTTTCCCTATTTTCCCTCAACGTACCTTAGGATTATTTTTGTTAGGTCCTGAATATTTACCAGCTTGCAACATTTTCCCTTCCTGTGTCTCATCCCTCCCTAGAGTTGTGTCGCGTGTCAGGGTGGGGGAGGACCCAGGAAGAGGGGCTGTCGTCAGGGGTGCTGCTGTACGTCGATATGCCAGTGGTGAGTGACGCACACTGCCGCGACGCATACACCCACGACGAGATCATGGACTCCATGTTGTGTGCCGGGTACGTCTCTTCCTTCTACCTGTGTAATGTTTATGTCCCTATTAACCTTGTAAGCCTGCATCTCTCCCCAGTACCCGAGTAAGTCTCTACCCACTACCTGTTAACACCCCCCTTTCACATTGCACAACACTAAATAGAATAACAAGAAGATGGATATAGCCCTTCTTTGAACTCGAGGAATTAAACTTAGTAAATTCTCTAATTCCTATTTTCTTGATAGTGTACAATACTCTTATTTGCTCGATGAAACCTGAAACTTCTCACTAATTAGAACAAACAGGATACTACGACGCAAACAACGAATAAACTCTGCAGAGTCTAAATACCATATATCGAGGCACCTCCTGTCAACCCAGCTGGGGAAGCGAAATGTAGTGCTGCCACAATGCCTCCTTATTTACCGAAACCTTAGTAAATAGTGTGATGTAGGTAGTTATTTGTAAAGTAAAAAACTGTTTCTTGCTCTTCAGTGGTTGAAAAATAGTTTAGGTTTTCATGATCAAACTATAACCTGTATACATGTTGTCAGATGGGAGGAAGGAGGAAAGGGTCCTTGTCAGGGTGACTCTGGGGGTCCTCTGGAGTGCGGGACATCCCTCGCAGGTGTGGTGTCCTGGGCCTATGGCTGTGCTCGCCCCGGTGTCCCTCAAGTCTTCACCGAGGTGTCCTACTTCCTCGATTGGATCCATTCTCATCTCCCCATTGACGAGTGAGGATATCCAACATTGAAGTCCTCAGCAAGTACTTCTATTTCCTCAGTTGGGCCCACCCCCATCTTCTCAGCCACCACTGAGGATATCCATTTATACCTTAAATAGCAGAGGAATGACTTTCACTCTAATTATTTGTTCTACAACTAAAACAAAAATAAAGCTGTTGATTTTGTTTACTTTCCTAAATAAGTATATCTGTTGATGATACTCTTTAAAAAAAATAAGCTCCAACTGGGAGTGAAAATGAATAGAAAACGAATACAAAAATTCGTTGGTAACATTTCTAAGAATAGATTGGTTGCGGGTCGCCAAAAAATATCTAAGAATAATTTATTTGGGTGGAAAATACGCTAAAATTCACTATGGTGCGCCTTTTTTCTGCAAAATTAACATGAGCTAGTGGCGGAATCTTCGTTTGATCACTTGGTGTGTTCGATACTGTCGGAGGTGCTCGTAATACAGTATTACCATGTCAGAGAGTGCACAAGAGTAATCATAAAGCTACTCCTATAAACATATTCAAAGCAGTTCCCAGGGAGCAGAGTCAGGAAGTTAAAGATTCAGATTCAGATTTGCCCCCGAGGGGGCTAGTTTATTGGGCACCCCTTTACATCCTGTGTAAGGTGAAGCGCGCCCAACAGGGAAGTATGAAAAGTTCATACTTGCCTTTATGACTCGTACATTAAGGGCGTAAAAGCCTGAAGGGTCATAGGTTCTGTCAAGTTACATAAAGTGAGAGAATGATGAGTGTGTGGGGGGAAAGTTCCCGGTACATTTTATCTGTTTATGGCAAAGTGTGGCAGGTCCCTAATAATGTCAAATGCCAGGCCTGTGACTAGGAGGAGGGATGAGGAAGTTAAAGTGCGAAGCTGCTCGTCGTGCTTACTCCATTTACTGCCATGAATATTTCACAAGTTGTGGGCAGGGTAATTAAAGATAACTAATAAAGTCTGGTGAACTTTTATCTCTAGAATTTTTTTTCCACAAGTGGTGATTTCAGGACACAAGAGTATATTTTAAGATCAGGGCTCAATCAGTTGCGAAAGTAAATTAAAGTTAATATTTGCTACAGTATTGAGTAGTTTCTTTTTTATCCCTCGCGCTAGTTTTTGCAGCTCAAGTAAGTGTTACAAGAATGTACCTTAATTAAAAACAGTTGGCTATGTATATAATCCCGTGTTATGACCTTGGGCGGTTTATGTGTGCTCCGTATCCACTGGAGACAATATTATAATGAACGTTGGGGAAGATGACAATGTAAGAAGAATTAGCCTGGAAAGTTAAATATCACAGCAGGTTAGCAGGTCATGCACGAAGAATCCTGGAACCCCGTATTACATGAACTCTGATCTAGAAGAAGTGAGAAATGCAGAGAGACCTGACAGTTGTAGCATTAGTAAATATGACAAATTTTGTAACAAGAGGTACCGGTATGGCCAGCATAAGGACAGAACCAGACAATGTGATGTAGTCGTGGCCAGAATTAGGCTAGGATACAGACACATCTGGCAAGTTAGTAACGCTGTACCCATACCGGAACACTCAGCATGTAAACTTAGTGATAAACCTTTGAAGCATACACTTGAACACTATATTATTGAATGTGACACTGTCAAAGACTTCAGGCCACCTGACTTACTGTATCTTGAACTATGTAATTACTTCATTGAATCAGGTGTGCTTGAGGACATTCTTGCTGTTTATCCCAAATTTGCTAGCCCACACTGATTAGTCTTCAATTAGAATATGACTCCAATGTATGTGATCCACTGACCTATATATGCTGCTGGTGAATGTGATGTATTTCCTTCTTTGTGTACGAACCTCTGTCCTGCGTGGCAGTGAACAGTGGCATTACCCACATGAATCTGACCTATATATAGTGTCAATGAATATGATGCATTCTTTGTGTACGAACCTCTGTCCTGTATGGCAGTGAAAAGTGACATTACCCACATGAATCTGACCGACGTATATGTATGTATGTGTGCGTGTGTGCATGTATATGTACGTGTACATGTATATGTGTATGTATATACTGATATGTATGTATATGTGTGTGTGTGTGTGTGTGTTTACATATATGTATATGTACTGTCAATGAATATGATGCAACTCTTTGTGTACGAACCTCTGTCCTGCATGGCAGTGAACAGTGACATTATCCATATGAACCTGACCTATATACATTTATAGTTGTTAATATGATGTATTTCTTTGTGTGTGAACCTCTGTCCTGCGTGACAGTGAGAAGTGATACCACCCTCAGTGTCAAGACCTGACTGAATTACTCAGAATAGGCAAACTGTACTACAAGCTCTGCCAATAAATTTGTTAAACTAAAACTAGACAGAGGCCCTTGTTTTAATTGCAGAGAATACAGCTTATTATGGTGATGTGTGGTGATCGTCCTGGAAAAAATGCGGTCGTGGCTTACTTGATGAATACAATCGTTAAAACACAGGGTGGTGATCATCCTGGGTAAAACAGGTGTGGTGGCTTGTGTGGTGATCGTCCTGGGTGTGTGTGGTGATCGTCCTGGGTAAACACGGTGGTGGCTTGTGTGTTGATCATCCTGGGTTAAACACGGTGGCCATCACTCCGTCGTCTGCAGCACCACAGGCCGTCAGTCAGTTGGTCGCCGCCATGGAGGTTACAGGCCAAGGCCAAACTCCTGGATCACAAACTATTACGTTGATGAAAATTGGCCATTACCAGATTGGCAACACCCTGGGAGCTGGGACATTTGGGAAAGTTAAATGTGAGTAATGAGAAGAAAAATATGGCTAGAATAATGTTTTCCGTGGTGTTTGAGGTATAGCCTTGTCAAGACTTCCTAGTCAAAGGTGTAGTTTTTGTTATGTATTTATGTGCATGGTAAATGGGGGAAGAATTTAGAGCACTAAAAATAAATTTTAGATTATTTTGGGGTTATAATAACAAGAAGATACACTGGAGCAAGTTTACCCTTGACCTACATGACAAGTAGGGCATAAAACTGCTCACCTTTGGACTAGAGATAGAACTATTTACAAGGAAGTGCCAAGATTACCTACAGAAAGTGTTAATTATTAGCTACAATAGTAATATAAAATATTTCCAGCATTACTGTCACTTTATTGCAAGAGTTACATAGTCTGTTTTACAGCAATAAGTAAAAAATAGGACCAGTTAATAATAAAAATATCTGTATATATTCAGTGAAATTTTCATCCAGGTTTATAATGGATAAATCTGTTTATAAACAATGCAGCTACACAGTTGAGCATGGATATAGACAATGTAGGTATATGGTGCACAGAGGCCATGGGAGTATACAATGTCCTGTGTGGAGACAGTGAAGGTTAACAGTAAGACGACTTGGCCAGGCATAGCTTGTCTGCTGTTTATTTCCAGGAGGGTCCTTTGCTTTGGCCTACACTTGGTCTCGAATCAGCAATAGTGTGTCTACAAGGGTATTGGTGAAAGTTTATTTAATAGAATTCAGCAAGTATTACATTGTGCTTTGACTATCCAAGGCTGGTGGATCACTACTGCAGTACAGTACTACATTCTGTGGTTTAATAATGTAGAAACTCTATTCCCTTGTTTTAGCTTTGAATTTTTTAAATACCATAACTGGTTTTGATGTGGACTGGTAACTTGATCCTGTCTTTTATGGCATTAAAGAAGGGTAACTATTGACAACATACCAATCGCTGAATTTTCATAGAAAATTAATTTAAAAATGCCGCAATTTCACGGTTTTGCAGTGGACATTGTTTTAGGTTTGGCAAATATGTTAAAATGGGCTTATTTCTAAATTAAACCTAACCTAACCTTGGCTGATAGGAAAAACAAGTGGCCAAAGCGTTGTTAGCAGATGCCACCAACCTAACCTTACCGGCATATTAAACAAAGAACTTCCTGTACTTTGGTATGGTGTAATTTTACGTTTTTTGTGGATGTGCGAGTACACTCGGAATGAGCGGCTCAGTTGTTGCACTGAAACAAATAAAGAGAGGATGACAACATGGAGCATGGACTGGGCTGCCATACTGTTACGTCTTCGAGAAAGCAAAGTAATGTGAGCCTTGGGGACTTTAATTATCTACCAAACGAAGCATTTGACCAAAAATTGAATATCACTTCTGAACTCAATGGTGAAGGAAGTATAGGAAGAAAAGATCCATCAAAACAAATTGTGACAATGGGTGTGTCATCAGTATTAGTCTAAAGAAGGAAGTGATTTTTACATGGCTGTGGACACCAGGAACCATAGAAATATGTTCACTCCCTCTAGTGCCCTGCCATTTCATGTCAAGTTTGTTGTTAGGTACTCTAAGAGTGATTCAGCCTCAGGTACTTTACACTATCCGTCACACTTAACATTTTCAATGATCGAAGAACTTTGTGACCAACATGATCTCTTGCATTCATGTCAAGAATGAACCTCACTGCCTTGTTTGAAAACCGTAATTTGTAGCTTGGATTTTAGCTTCGATGTTAAGGCATAGTACCATAACAAGCAGGAATAGTCCAAGTGACATTGCATGAGCATCAAGGAAAGCACCCTGTGGTAATCAGTCGAGATGAATTTAGCATTTCTAAAGAGAAAATTTATTTTGGCATTGATTTTTTAACTATTATGTACAAGTAATTCACCAGACAAACAGGACCCGAGAGTTAGTCCAAGATATTTCACCGAGGTTACAGTTGAGACGAGTTCATTCCCACACAGTACAATGACTTCGTTTACCTTTTTGAGTTTAATATTGTTTCAGTGTTTGCAAGATGTAGGGATAATTTGTTGTCTATGAACCAATGTTTACATGACTCCACTTCTGATAATAACTCCTTAGCTATACTGGTATCATTTGGATCTTTACCTGACACTAAAAGAGCACTGTCATCATACAGCAAAAGTTTACTATGATCACTAATGGGCATATAATTTACATAACACATGAAGAGCAAAAGGCCTAAGATACACCCTCATGGGACTCCACAGGCTATTGGCAGGGATGTTGACTCGGTGTTATTTGCAACAACATTTTGTTTCCTGTTACTAAGATATGATATTAACCAGCCAACATATTCAATGTGAAGAGTCTGCAGTTTTTCTCATAGTACATGCACGTACTGTTATATCATGATCGACTGTGATAAAGGTATTTTGTGTGTCTAGCGTTACCATACTTGTGTAATTTCCCAGGGTTGTCTGGGATCTGATATGGTCAGTAGGATGGATCAGACTGGTCTCAGTTGAGTGAGAGCCCCTTAAGCCTGATTGGTAGCCATACAAAATATTATACTCAGAGATATCTTTCCACCTGAACTTACACTGTATTCTTTAGAATTTATTACAGTACACAGTACACGAGTACAGTATACTAAGTGACCTGTAATCACCTACATCAGACTTATTGCCTTTCTTATAGATAGGTGTTACTCTGGCAAACTTTGTCATCTGGTACAGTATTGGTGCTAATGGAGCGATTAATTAGATGTGTTATTGGTGTCTAATATACTGTAGTGGTACTATCCTTGAAAAACCTGGCTGGGATGCTATCAATACCTGTGTTCTTATGGGGGTCCATTTTATTTAATTCCTTTAGAACAAAGTCCACTATCACTGTGTGGATTTCAATATTATTTGGAGTGATATCATTCTTTATGTAGTGAGATTTAAAAGCTTCTGATTCTACACAGTAATTGTTTGAGGCTATATGCAGTTTTCAACTGGAGATGATGCAACTGTTGTATAAAAGAAATTAAAGTGGTTTCCAACGGCAGATGCATCGTGACAAGGCTCATTATTTATGTTTAACACAATGTTGGAACGTTCTTTTGGTTTACTGTGTCCAAGGGATTTTAATTTTCATTTCATTTCATGACCAACTTTATTAGGTTAACTAAGGTCTTATTCAAGTGCAACCCAATCACATATTGTTTACGTGGGATATTCTTCCTCTTTGACCCATTTACCAGCTTTCTGTATTAGTTGGTGGGGCAGTTAGTGAGTTCTGCTGTACACTGTTGGCAAATACTGGGCTTGTTGGTGGCACATTAAGTATTGTATGTGCATTTAAGACTAACCAAGATATTGTATTGTCAGATGGCGAGCATATTCTCACTGGTACGAAAGTTGCCATCAAGATTCTCAACCGTAAAACCATCAAGAACTTGGATATGGTCAGCAAGATCAAGAGAGAAATTACCAATCTTAAACTCTTCCGTCATCCACACATCATTAAACTGTAAGTGAAGTGTTGAGTTTTCATCGACACTGTTCCATAGTGTTACTTTTAATTTCTTGTTGTTGATGGGAAATGTTTTCTAAAAGTGTGTGAATTGGGAAATAGCGGTGTCAAAAGGGTGAATGTGTATATGAAAACAGTTAGATTAAGTTACGGTAAATGTTAAGATGCCGTTTTGTTTTGTCAGGGTGTTGATGTAGATTCCTGTACGTACAATACTTAGGTGTGGATGATTATTTAAAGTTACTCACCAGGAAAGTATTAATTGGAAGGGATAAAAAAGCATAGGTATTAACGAATTCATGAAAGGTTGATTGATGAGGTGTTTGTTTTGCAGGTACCAGGTGATCAGCACACCCACAGACATATTTATGGTGATGGAATATGCTTCTGGAGGAGAACTTTTTGACTATATCAAGAAGAGGGGCAAGGTATGAATTGAATGGTTGTGTTGTCCATTTACAAATACTGTACTGTTTTGAATGACCTTTGCAGTACAATACAGTAGTGTATTTGCATTTCCCAGTTTTTTAGTTTGTTCTTGTAATAAATCAAATTAAAGCAAGAGTTATACAGGTTGACAATTCTTTATCCGAAATTCTTTATCCGAATGTGAAGTTAGAAGTGATAAGGAAATTTGAAGCGGGAGAATTCCTAGGGGTACTACCTAAGTCAGCTTTCTGTTCATGTATACAGTATATGCATTAGTTTTAAGTGTTGTCAGTATAAAATCTCAATAATATTTCATTGCATGTATATTTTTCTGTGTAACTTAAAATTTTGGGGGACCATTCTTTTTTTTTTCATACAAACAATCTCCAGTTATATATATAGCATTTGTCTTGGGTTAAATAGGTTTCTTTATACTGTATGTAATTTCAAGATGTGTAAAACTCTTCAAGAATGGAGCTGCAGTATTTTGTGAAAAAAGAAAGAAAAACAGTTTGTGATGAATTGCATAGAAATGATCTGTACTCGTACCATAATTCCTACAGAACTGGAATGATACCGGTATTTGAGGTGTAATGTGTGTTTGTTTTAACTAATCTTAACTAGTACTGTACCTGTAACACCAACTTTGATACGAGAGTAAGGTTATTGCCAGTTAGCACCAGCTGTCATCCCTAAGTATCTGCCTTCCAATATTAATTATCTTCCATGTTATCCATGCCATAATAATGCTTATATAATTGTTATCCGCTATGAGCTTTCAGCATGTACGTATGTACAAAAAATTTTTTTGTTTGAACCACTGTTCATTCTCTACATTTTGTGAGGGAGGTGAACTGTCTAAAAAGTAGTCAAACCCAGAATGTTGTGATCATGTTGGACAGTCAATTCTTGTAGTATTGACAGGGTTTACTGTACAATACAGTGTGCTTGTTTATTCACTGCCAAAATTGTACTGTAGATTGTTGGCACCACACAGTATGCCAGGTACTGTATCTTTAGTTGTTGAAGCCCCTTCCAAAATTCAGTGTCAACAAGAACACATCACTTTTTATATTATTCCATACTGTTTCAAGATGGATAATTGTATTTGGTCTGTACCCTCTCTCATTTCATCCAGTACCTCCAGTCACAAAGATATTGTTGTAAGCATTGATGACATGTAAAAATTACTAGAGGATTTGAGGAAATGTATCTCAGCAAAGGTAATTGCAGTTTGGCAGAGGAGAATTTATGATTGCAGAAGGGCCCAGCTAGATATTTTATTGAATGCTTTTTCGATTGTGTCATTAGAGATATACAAGACAGCATTATTATAGGGGTGTGGAATGTGGATGCATTTAATGACCTTTTCCAAGTTCACTGCAAATACACTCGCGTACAATAACCTGGCATTTATTGTTGTGTTTACTATATATGTTATTAAAATTCTGTGGATGAATCTGGGGTTTAGTGACTAAGCCGTTCCTGCAACATACACCACACTCTTATGCTCTTTATAATCTACCATTTAGAGGAAATCCTCAACAAACACTTTATTTAGCATCAGTTGAACTTCCTATACATGTTTGAGGTTTAATTGCATTGCATGTTATGTATATGTTTTATACGTATAACTTCAGATAGAGAGAGAACAACGGGCCTGCCAATATCAGTCATGATAGCTGCCAGTAAACTTTTTATTATTATTACAATATTATTATTATTTATTTGTCATTGAAAATGTATATTAATATCTTTGACATTTCCATTTTAATGCTATTGTCAAAATTATTCTTCATTTGATCAATCTTTTATGTTCTCTTGGTATGTAGACCATAGTGATGCAGTTAAATTATTTTGTTAAAAACAGATTTAGCATCAAGTGAATGAGGTGCCTTCTCTCCTTTACCGCCACACCTACCGTAGACCTATGACTCGTCGTCCACCCAACATTATTACACCCACAACTATATCCTGATATATTAATAAAAAGTAGGAATGACATCTCATCTATCAAACAAATGATTACAAACATTGTCATTGCTAACTCCTGGTGCATATTAATGATAAACACACAAATATTTTCCTAACAACTTGAGATACGGTATACAGTATGTCTAGCTTTCTAGGTATTTTGGCTTTTTATTTAGGATTTATTTAATCTCTTGTCTTTTGTCTAATGCAAGACAGAAACTGTTGAGGATTTCCTCTAAATGATAGATTATAAGAATAAAAGTTTGGTGTGCATTGCAAAAATCACTCTATCACTAAACCCCAGATTCATTTACAGAATTTTATGATTACAGGAGGTCCCCGACTTACGAACTCCCGCCGATACTAACGGGGTTAAACTTGAAATTTACAGTACAGGGTACTGTATTTTCTTTACCCAATGACTTATTTTTTGCTTTCATTTACTGTATTTTGTCATTCTATTTCTTCTTTTGTCTTAAATTAAGTGATTTTAGATGTATATAAGGATTTCGGTTATGATATAGTGAGATTTTAAACATTGTTCTGAAAGTACGGTATGCACATAGCATGTGTTTCGACTTACGTACAAATCCAACTTGAGAATGTCCTCAAGAACGGAACCTGTTCATAACCCTGGGACCTCCTATACAGTACATGCAACAACAAATGCCAGGTGTCATGATCTGCACACACGAGTGCCTTAAGTTTATTGTGCATGACTGTACATCCTTTACTCTTATAAGTCCAACACACCCAGGATAAAAATCTTCTTTTAAGAAATTAATCTTACAATACAGTATGTTGAAATGAAAAATTGGAAGCATGTTGTAGTGTTTCAATTCAAATATCTCTTGAAATTACTTTGATTTTTTCTTTTATGGTATGAACTTTTAAGTTTTAAATTTCTTTTTCATTTATTTTTTAATAAAAAGAAAACTTTTAGTTTAGCTTTCATTTAAGATCTATTTCTTCCATGGTGTTACTGTGTGCTGTCCTTCCTCATCTGCCATGCTCTCAATCCCAGTTAGCACAGATATCTTGGGACCTTCTATAGTCATATGATCTCTTATTAAAAATTCACAAACCCAGAATTCAGGAATTTAATTCTCAAAAGAAATTTCTTCAGTCAGTACAGTGCAGTGTATAAATACAAAAAATCATGGAACATAAATTCGTTACATCCAATAACATAGTGGCAAATGCTTTACAAGTTCTGTTGCAGTGGAATCCATTGTCTTGTAAGAAGTTTTTCATGCCATGTGTTTAGGAGGCAGTCAGTGACCCATTGTTACCATCTGCATCATAGGGTGAGAGGTATCAGCGGGCGGGGCAAGCAGGGGGGCCACGAGGCAATAGGTTACAACCCAGCACAAGGCGTCAACCTAGCATCCATCCTCAGTCCACAACACGATCTTGGGCACGTACTGGACCCCGGTGATAAGAATTTGGGTCTTCATCGCTGGTTTTGATATATTAGCCCATTAAATGCTTGGAATTTAATTAACAGCTGGTATTATACATGATCACATAGGATTTGTTGATGTCACATTTTGCCTGCTCCTGTTATTTTCTCCTTGATTTAGCATATTTTTCACCCAAGGTGTAAACACTTAACTGGAGGCATAATAAGTTGTATGCACTATTGTTCTCAGGTAAGATCTAATATGGTGCTTATTTAGTGTGAACTACAGTACACCCCTTGTCCATGAGCACTAGCCTGGGGTGATGGGACAGATGCCATCAGTTTACCATGTGTGCTCCCAGTCACATGACTCTTTATGCCTCAAAGCACATGCAATTGTTAGGTTGCGCTTATTACATATTCTTTTCTTCACATTTGTTTTGTAAAAATATTAGTCAGAAAGGCACTTATTTGATCACTAATATTTCAGGAGGTTTACAAGTATAATATATATATATATGCACAGCTTTCACATCTCTGAATTAAAGGTGTCAATCAATTATCTATTTGGCACTCCGTAATAAAAGGAAATTTAAGAGATGCAATATTCTGTACATGTACAGTACACCCCCCATAATTCATACTCTAATTAGAAATCACTCATAATTCGTATTGTTTTGCCGTTACAAAATATTTTAACAATTTTGTATTATTTGGTAAATTTTGAAATTTGGTCGACATTTTGAAATATTACAATATCTGTATATACAATACGTATATCCAAATTTTTTTGGGAGGGAAAATTTAGAATTATGAGACATTTATAAATATGTATGACACACATTGTCACCATGGGATGCGACCGTCCGCCTGCCGCAATGTAAACAAGTACTGTACTGTATACACGTTTCGGTTAATTCACGTGGGTCAGTCATGGAGTGCACGTCTCCAGTCTACCATGCATGCTTTTTTCACTATGTACAGTATACAGTACTTAGAATGGTTTAAATTTTGTTTGGGACAGAAAATACCTTTTTCTTTGTGTTTCCCTCGGGAGGTGTCCCTCATAATTCATAAGGGCTAGAGCCCCTATTATTTTGAATTATGGAGGTTTTACTGTATTTCCATCACCTTTTGCCCTTATCAGGCAAGTAAATTTATGCCATCACAGTATCAATCTGCCTAATGGAGTGCTGGAGTATGCTAATATTGTACAGTACTCAAGAGCAATCCTGTTACCATGGTTATTTAATAATTATTCCTTTTGCATCTACAGTAATTATAATGCAGCTGAAAATGCTGTTTCATTGAAGAAAAGATGTAAGTGATGATTTTAGTATAGACAATAAAAGTGCATAAGAAGTTGAAAAGTGGTATGAGTATTGCAGCAATTGGATGTGAAAGACTCCACAACATGTACTATCATAGTTCTGAAGGAAAGATTTGTGTCACTGAAAGTTTCTGCCCTTAGTAACTAGTGCTAAAATGTCTTGAGGACAAATTATGGAAAGTACATTACTGTATTACCAAAAGGGTTGAAATTAGACAGTCAGCATTTATGATATTTTTGGTTTTGTTAATAATTATTGCTTCTATTTTTATTTGCTTTATTACTATTTTTATTGTTTCATGATTTTTATAATGAGAAATGTAAATATTTTTGGAATATGTAGTATTCATGAAAAATTTTACCTTAAGCTTATTTTGCTATGAAATATAAAATTTACCAGTTGGGATTTTGTTGTCGGAGGAATTTTTCAAGAATGAAAGTACAGTAGTTGTATATTAACACCAAGTCTGTGATGTTTAAATCCCAGAGAACACCTAGACTTTACTAGCTTAGAGCAATGCATGGGTGCATCTTACACAGCTGATATGACTTGACTCAATCACCCTTCAGCCTTAACCCAACATCAAAGGATGTTAGCTGTATGGATGGTAGCCAACATCATTGTATATTTCAGGTTCATGTGTTCCATTTTTTTGCATATACAGTAAAGGTGGTTTTGGAAATTCTTAGCTGCTATTTAAGGGTTAAGTGGTGGCCATTGTTTCCCAAATTTACATATTTTGGGATGAACATTACAATGGAAAAGAAAATAACTGTTGAATTAGTCCAAGTTTACATTGTCTAGGTCTTCCCTGGTGTTTCAATGCTGTAGACTTGATGGGACTCTACACAAAATGTTTGGTTCAGACTTGGCCATAAAGTGGGTTGTTCAGGAACACTCCTCAGTAATATCCCCATTAGTTGGAACATTTGGTGTGCAGATCATGTGCGAATTTGAGAGATTTCCGGGTATTGACACGAGTTCTCTTATCTTGGAAAAATCGCACGTCTACTGGATTTTTCCGGGCATTGGTGAATGTTTACGCATCTGGCATGGAGCACCATTGCTATGGAGACTTAACTGCTGTATACACTATACTGTACTCACCAGCAGATGCTTGTGATGCAGGCAGGCCAAATGGTGATATGGTGATATAGAATGGTCTGCCTTTGCCCTGTACCATCTCCTGTAGCAGGTGTTGCTAACTGTCACTCTCTTCTTCCATGAAGGAGGGATTGTACCTGCACTGTATACTGTACATATACCTTCTACACTTTAACGTACAGTAGGCATACGCTGTCCACTGCTATGTACAGTACATTGTACTGTAGGTACTGTATAGTACTTCACACTTACTGCAGAGGTACAGTAGATTTATATAGCTGTAATCACATTTTACATCTTAATACTGCTTTAATGGTATTCTTATCTGATTGTATCCTGATACAGTACTGCACAGCACAGATTAAGTGTAAAAACAGCAGTAAGACAGCGAACACGCTTGTACATTGGCAGCAACCAATGAACTAAGTGTTTGAGGAGAGAGACAGTGAGATACATCAGCCAATAATAGGCATCCTATATAGTCACATGACAGTCCTGTAGTGGATAATCATAATACACGAGTGCTCCGAGTCTTCCCACCCACGTACTCGGCACGTGTCGGCACATGATGTTATCTTTCGGAAATTCATTTGAATGCCTGGAATGGAGAGATTTTTCTCGGAGTTCTAAAATTTTATTTTCTGGGGATCGAAGATTCAGCTAAGAGGGATATTACTTTTGTATTTGGTGTGTAATGTAATATGAATTTTGTGAGGAGTTCAGAAACATATTTCTATTAGCTGTACAAAATGATGACATGAAGAGTAATAGTAGTTCAGATTTTGAAAAGAGGGACATATCAAACTGCTCTTGAAAAGTCTGTAATCTTTTGGGATTTTCATGTTGACACACACTGACCTCCAACAAATTTATGGATTGGCAGAAGGAAAACTTATATATCTCTCTTTAACATCCATCTCCTTTTTATTTACATTTCTTAATATTGGTATTACATGTATATATTTTTTCTTTAATTTAGTGTTCTGCCTTTCTGTATATACAGTACACACATTTTATGTATTCATTGCACTTGAAGCTGGCAGTGTTTAGAATTACTATAGTTTAAATTTCTCCATTATTGAAAAAATAAGATATACTGAAATTAAATATTTGTTTTGAAAGTCTAAAAATGTGATACTATGCTACTGTTTGAGCAGTTGGCATTATTAAAGGTATTGTATTAATTTTGACAATGTTTTACAGCTGAAAGAGTCAGAGGCTCGGAGGTTTTTCCAGCAGATAATTTCTGGTGTAGATTACTGCCACCGTCACATGGTAGTGCACAGAGACCTCAAGCCTGAGAATCTCCTTCTGGATCATAATCTTCATGTCAAAATAGCTGACTTTGGTGAGATTGACATCCTTTTACAGTAATTAAACCATACAGAAATTAACAGGAGGATTGAATTTTGAAGAGGTAGGGATTTGATGTTAAAAACTGATGAATGATGAATAGATCAGTAAATATGCATATAGTCTTAATTTAGTGATATAGCATGCAAAACTGAATAGCTTGGGTACTAACATATAATATTTTTGTTTATCTTACCTCCATAGTGTTCTCTTCATAGTTTTATAGGGTTATATCCTCGAGGCAAGAAGGATCAACCGAGACTCTGCCATTGACTTAAGCCAGTAATAATTTTTATATGTCCCATAACAAATAACACTTCACCATACAATAAATCCTTGTCTTTACACCAGAAATCCTAGAGTACCTGTAATTTTGTATACAGGTAAGTAAATTTTTTTTCCGGGGCATATCCTGTACAGTTTATCTACAACTTATACTGTATTGCATTCTTACAATTAGTATACAGTATATATTTTTTAATTCACCTTTTAACTTTTTGTTTTCCTTTGAATTAATAGTACAATACTGTAGTCAGCAAATAGCCCAAATAAAATGTCAATACAGGTACAGTACTTAACTCCAGAATGTTTTAATTTTATAGATGAATAATTAACATACAGTATTACTCTGGTTTTGTTTTTCACTTTCATAATACATTATGTTTTTGATGCTGTGTAACTGCTTATTGTACATGTCAGTATTTTGTTGTTACATATGGTTTTTGGTATCTGTAGAATTTCCACTCTTATAAAACAAGTAACAATCACACAATTCATTTTCCTTTAACATTATCATCTAAGTGCAGTTATATTACCCTGTACTGTACTTGACAAAAACAATGAAAATGATATAAATGTATTTCTCATTCCATTATCATAAGTTTCTATTTTTATTGTGGAATTGCTATACAGTAGTTTGGTTATAACAGGGGTTTATATTTTGTCATGATGTAGGGATGCAGGTCATATGTGGAAACCCACACCTGTTGAATTGAGAGTTTTAAGATGTGGCTGTTTATAGTTTCATATTGTATTTACTGAAAGAATACTATTCTCTCACCAGGCCTCTCCAACATCATGGTAGATGGCGAGTTCCTTCGCACCAGCTGTGGTTCCCCAAATTATGCTGCCCCTGAAGTTATCTCTGGCAAGCTTTATGCCGGACCTGAAGTAAGTACTGTACATTACCCACCTACTTTTATATCTGTAGTTTAATGTATAAGGTGAGCTTTTTTATGCACTTAATTTTGAAATAGTACTTTAATCCCCAGAATTTATATTAAATGTTTTTTCCTGCTTTTAAATGCATGTGTCACATCTAGAACAATCTTAATTATTTTTTGATTAGTGATGTTTTTCAGATGTATTAAGTGTAGAGAATCCAACAGAAAGCTTCAGGGAATTTGTCATTTAGTCCTTGAAAAGAGGGATTTATTGTTCAACTTCCATCCCAGAATGATTGTTTACTATCACCTTGGGCAAGATGTTAACAGCCGATACTTTATGGGTACAGTACTTTATTCATCAGCAGTAATAAAGAGAAAGGTAATGGTATCAGCTTATTATAGTAGGAAACATTATGTTAAAGGTGATGGATGTACTGTACCAGTTATGGAGTTTAGTAAGTGTTGTACGGTTACTTTCAAGTAACTATTTTTGTCTTTTGACTAATGTTGGCACCTCTCATCTACATTATATTTAGATGTACAGTATGTTGACGTAAGGCAGCACTTGTTAGAAGTTAGAGAAATAACAGTTGCTGATAACTTAGAAGTACTGTATTGGCACATTAGACTAAACAGGGGAAGTAACACTTGCTAATACAGTAGAGTCACGATAATTCTCAAATTTATTTTCTTAAATTTACGGTTACCTCTATTACAGCCTCTTTTTTTTTTTTTTTTTTTAAGTTTGCTGTCTAATATTTGTAATTCGTGGCTATGCGCCAGCTGCTGCAATGTTTATTTACATAGGAAATCATAAAAATTTTGGAAATTTAATATCAAGCTCTAATGTGACTTATAAATAAAGAAAATATAATATAAAACTATAAAATAAGAAAAAATGAAGTTTGGATATAAATTCTGTGTGGGAGAGAGGTAGGGTGGCTGGCTAACCCAACCCACAGCCCCTTTATAAAAACATTATGGAATTTTGCTATAATTCTCATATTTAGATTAATTTGGTGCAGGGTTAATAAAGAAATTACCCTAAAATAAATTTTCCAGAAAATACCCACACTTGACCCCAGATGAGTTATTGAGTCTATTAAATTCCTGGTGGTTTGTTTACATTTTAAGTGAACAGCTGACCAGCCATCCAGGTGCTTGTCTCCAAGAGAAGAGAAGGAAGGAGCTTTTTATATAATATAGAACTACTCTGTACAACATATGTTTAATTGAAAAAATTATTTAGGTACTGTATTATGTATTTTTGGCCTTTGGAACCTAACCAAGTACCCGTATTCCCATTGAAATCAATTAAACAATACTTCACAATTTCTCCTGGTGCCTAAAACCATGAATTATCGCGACTCCTCTGAAGTTAGTAATACAGTATTGGCACAGTAGAATACAGCTCCTCCCTGACTTACGACGTGTTAGGGACCCAAATCCAGGTCGTAAGTCGAAAATGCTTAAATAATACATAGAAAATCTAATTTGGGTGTCTCTTTTTCTTCTCAGCACCACAAAATTCTCACCTTTAAGCTTGCCAGCCATTTTAAAGTGAATTATAAACAAAAATTTTGTCTGTGTACTGATGTTGGGACTCGAGAATCCGTAATTTGACAAAATTTTGGTACGACTGAGGCAGGTTGTAAGTGCGGGTGATCGCAAGTCGAGTAGGTCGTAAGTCGGGGAGGAGCTGTAGTTAGTTTTTATGAAGCTTTGATTTAGATGGAGTTAGTTGTTGGTAAAAAAAAGTTTGTACTCTTACTAATAGAAAACTGTGAAAAATGTTTAATAAAATAATTTATATTGATAGAAATGTTAATAGACATTGTTACATGACTTAGCATATTTACTACTTCAGGTGGATGTGTGGTCGTGCGGCATCATCCTATACGCTCTTCTGTGTGGGACCTTACCTTTTGATGATGAGCATGTGCCGTCTCTCTTCCGCAAAATCAGATGTGAGTAAAATTCTTAAATCTGGTCATCCATTTTATGCTCTGTATATATATGTATAAATTATGGATATCAGGTGGTTGAGAGTAATTTTAAATAATGTACAGGTATCCCTAATTACCTGTATCTGAATATTATACCTAAAAAAATTAAATCGGTTCACAAAAAAATCCTCCGTAACGATTGTAATTTAGTACTGTACATTAGTCAAGGCTCACCATAGACAGTAAGGAGTGGGCTGATATGAATCTGAATTTATATGAGCTTTTGAAATTACCATTTTTTGGATAAGTGAATATAATTTTTTGAAAGTGAAAAAAGAGGTTTAAGAATACTATTTACTGATTAGTGGATTTTCGGATAAAGTGGGATACCTGTATGTGGTAGCATTTAATCAGGATCGGTTGAAGACAAAAAAAAAATTCTTTTGCAGCGGGTGTGTTCCAGATCCCTGATTACCTGAACCAGAGTGTGGTGCGCTTACTCCTACACATGCTCATGGTGGATCCTATGAGACGTGCCTGTATTGAGGACATCAAGTGAGTTGTTAATGAACTTGTTTGTTTTTATTACTGAAATTTAATGGAAAGTAAATATTGCTGGTTCATTTAAGTTGTTGGTTACTGTCCTACCATAACCAAACTATACTGTACCTAAATTAGGTTTGGATAATTTGGTTAGTGTTATGAATGTGTACAGGATTAATGCTATATTCAATGCAGATCAGTTTGAATAAAAATAAATATTGTACAGTATATAGAAATTATTGTTGTTGGATGGTTGGGCTATGTTGACAGAAGGTAGGGGACTTACAACAAGAGCATTTATCTGAGTTATACAGTAGTTTCTTTCTTGCCAATAAAATAAAAAATACTTTGGCCAGTGTTCATAAGTACGTCCTTATAATACTGTAATAGCAAAGACAATGAGAGAATGAAATATCTTCACAGCTTTAGCTTAAGTATAATGAAACCTGATTACCCAACACAGTGAATAATGTTACTGGCTGCCCCTTTTGAAGATTCCACAGGTCTGCCAGCTGTTTATGGGCTCCACACATGCATGAATTGTAATACTGTACTGATGACAATTTTAATCATTTTGTATTTAATGATATAATGTAATTAAGTTTACAAATATCCTTACTACTGTACTATACAAGACTAATATTATTTTGTCTTCTAAGCCTTTTCCTACTTAATGCAGGGTGGCCAGACACAAGACCAGATACTTTAACACATTTTTTCCTTGTTCTTTGTTTTAATTGCATTTGTTTCTTTAAAGTAATATTTTACAAGAAGTGGAGTTTCTAGCCTCATGCCTGTGTGGTTGAAGGAGGGATATGCCTGACCCTGAACAAATAACTTGTTCCCGTGCCAATTAAGATGCGTGTGAAATAACTTCAATACAGTATTGATTTTTAACGCTTTATGATTTTATTTCCAGAAAACATGAATGGTTCCAGAGGGACCTGCCTGCCTATCTTTTCCCTCCTCCATATGACCATGATAATTCAGTAATCGACAATGATGCCATAGCTGAAGTGTGTGAGGTGAGTTAAGCTTACAACAGCATTGGAATGGTTATCGTATTAACCCGACAATTCATTGATCCCTGTTTCTTATCTCTGGTAAGGAGGAAATATATTATTCATACAGTTTCTAGTTTAAGCCAGTGCTAGTCACATGATCATATCCTTGGCTGCCTCATAGACATCCAGACAAATAAGGGGATCCAGGACACCAATCTTCTCTCAACTTGCCTGTATATTATGATACCAGGCCCACAAGTTTGACATCGTTGGTGGACTTGTAAAGTTTCATTATTGACAGCCACTTTGGAGCTATTGGCCAACTTTCCTTATATAACCCTTTGGCTCCTGGAAGTTTCCCTAAGCTGTAGCCAGAATAAAATTCTAATTTGCAACAACTGGCATGAAAAGGTTGAGGGAGAAAATAGTATTCTTATGTAAGTGTGTCTGTGTCAGGTTGGTATACAGTGTGTTATTGGAATTATTTCTTATTTATATACTGTACATGTACTGTACTATATTACCTCACCTATACTGATATTTAGTACATGTTGACCAAGTGAATGTAACTTCACAACACTGATATATTTACTGAACTTGTAAGGTTTCTAGATGAAATACAGATTTTTTACTTATTTGTTCTTATACAATTAAGCTTTTTAATGTGTGAAATGTGGGAAGTAATTTAATTTGTGAAATATTTTACAGAAATTCCAAGTTGATATTTCTGAAGTTCAAAGTGCCATTCTGTCGGAAGATGCACACAACCAACTGAAAATTGCTTATAACCTGATTGTCGACAATAAGCGCTTTGCAGATGCAAATGCTCTGTACAGGTGAGTTTGTCACATTCACTTTTATGATGTGTGTTAAATGAAGTTTTTATTATACATTGCATCTTTTTAAGACCTGACCTATAGGGGGAGAAGGAAACATGGTCGTGAAAGCTAGTAAATATGATAGTCAGGATTTCTCTGCTATTATTATTTTATGTCTTCTTACTGATTTTAGAATTGACATGTGCAAACACACACACACACACACACACACACACACACACACACACACACACACACACACACACACACACACACACACCCACCCATGTACTGTACCATGTCTCGTTTATACAACCATAGCTTCATAATATAAACTAGGCTCCTCTCATTAATATTGCTGAACTAACATTATTAGTGTAGATGTTTTTTGGCAATTGCTAAATATTGAAGGGCTGAGTATCACCTTGCTTGTTCTTCTTTAAATGGAAGGGGGCATTTGTTTCTTGATAACAAGGATTTTCTCATTATTTTTTGTCATCATACAGAAATGAAAGTAAAGTCAGTCCCTGACTTATGGCGGAGTTAGGGACCGACGACCAGGTCGTAAGTCGAATTGGTCGTAAGTCTAAAATGCGAAAATAATACATAGAAAATCTAAAATGGGTGTCTCTTTTTCTTCTCAGCACCACGAAATTCTCACTTTTACGCTTGCCAGCCATTTTAAAGGGAATTACAAACGAAAATTTTGTCAGTACACAACACGATCACTAACGTCGGGACTCTAAAATATGTAATTTGAAAAAAAATTGTACGGCCGCGGCGGTCGTATCTACGGGTGGTCGTAAGTCGAATAAGTCGTATGTCGAGGAGTACCTGTAATGATTTGATAATGTTTTACAGATGTATTACTGTATGTACTGTACTCGTTTATAAGCATATCATATAGTCCGACCCCAGATTCTTTGGTGTTAAAAGCCTCATTTTTTTCATGTACTGTACATATGTATAATTTTACCCTAGCTTTTTAGAAATATTAGGTGTAAGCTTAAGCAGAAAAACATCAAAATCTCAACTCGGAAACACACAGTTGGTGAGTAATTAGCATTGAAAAAAGTCACTAAAATCCTCCAAGTGTCATTATGACCACTACTTATCCCGCAATCGAATCATGGACCATAGATTCAGAATCAGCATGCTCAGGAGTACCTATATTGAGATTCTCAACAAAATCCAATTTTGGGCCGAAAATTTTTTGATAGAAATATGCTTTTCTCTCGGAATTGGAATTAAAGTGGTTTAACTAATTAAATACACTGTACCCTTTTTAATTCAGATTTCATCTAAATTTTTGTTTGTTTCATAAATGAATTAAATATGATTTGAATTTGGAATGAATCTAAAATAACCGAGCAGTTCTGAAAAGTCAATTATTATGAGGAATATATTTTGAAATTGATTACAATGATTGAAATATAGGAATATAATATGAATTATATTAAGATGCTGTACAAAACTACATATGGGTGCATAATGGGGGAGGAGAGGAGGAGGGAGGAGAGAACAACTCTCCACCTCCCGTGATCGTCAGCCAGTGATCCATTTATAACAATATACATTTTCACAATAATTTCCCATACTATTTAGGTTAATTTAGTGCCAAGTTAATAAAAAATTATCAAAAAATAATAAAGCCTCCCTCCCCCTCCCTCAAAAAAAAAAAATTATATGCAGGTATATATATATATATATATATATATATATATATATATATATATATATATATATATATATATATATATATATATATATATATATATATATATATATATATATATATATATATATATATATATATATATATCTATCCCACACTCCATCCCAGATGAGCTATTTGTGTTATTGTATATTCCCAGTCTCTTGTTTACAGAGTGGTAACAACACTCACCATCTCTCTAGTACCATTGTTGTCACTGCTCAAGGGGGTTGGTGCTTACCACAGGATCTGTTTTGAGCACTCGGTAAATAATATTGTAGCATATTTATCAGAACTTAATTAATATTGTTGCAGTGTATAATGCATCTCCATATGCCCTGGCTTATTCACTGATCAATTGTCTTAAGTGCAAAAGTAGCCAGATCGAGCCATCATGTACAGGTATCAATTAATTTTATAATGGAAAGTAGAAATTAAAATGTTATAAGACAATGGTTATGTTGTGTTGTTAATATGTGTACTGTGTAACTGCCTTGTCACGTCATATCACCTCATCTCTTACCTCGTCACCTCGCCCCTCACCTCATCACCTCCCCTCAGTTTTACATTTATTTATTACTGTATTATACACTTTATTATTACTGTATGTTCAATTAAAAATAAGTTTGTTTGCTCAATAATTATAAATAGATTATTTTATGCGGCAACCAAAGCAAGATGCAAAAACTAAACAGAAAACGAGTGAATAATCGAACAAAAAAATTCAGAAATTGTCTAATGTCAGAATTTTCCAAACTTGGTTAATTTGTATTTTTCTGTAATTTGAGTGACCCCAGGATCTCTTTTTTGTTGAATTAATGAGGGTAAGTATAGTGTAATATGTAATAAATACATTTTTTCCATTTCAGCATCTCTGCATTTTACATGGGCAGTTCTCCTCCTCCAGCCCCTCCAGCTCCTTCCTTCAGTCCATCAGACCCAAATCCAATCGCTTTCAGGCCACACCCAGAGAGAATTGCACGTAAGTTGGAATATCTCCACTTTGTTTTGTAATAATAATAATAATAATTAACGGTTTATTGAAAAAATTCTGCAGCCCGAAGGCTGAAAATATACATTGGACATAAATGACTTATTACATACATTGGTAGTTTAACAAAAGCCTTCATTAGAGAAAGGTAAAGGAACATACAGTGAACATACAGATTAATGTAGGTGTTGAACAGCAAATTCGTGCGTGCGTGTATACATTAATTACATCAGATACCCGTTTTCTGATTTATATAAAACAAGTGTAAACATTTTCTGCAATTGCTTTTGCACATGACTATATTTTTCAATTGCAATTTTTTATCCCTACCTGATAATGAAGTATTTTTATTTTTATTATTGACATTGCATCCACTGAATACAAGCTCTCAAGGTTAACCTCAACCCTAATTCCCAGCTTTTGTACAATCCAAACTACAAATAGATTACCATTAGTTTTCCACACACATCTGTAGTTATCGAGTGCCTGTTTTTATTTTCCTTTACGGTAATGTCAACTATATACTGTATTTTCATTATTATAGTTATAGTAACATAGTTTATTCAGCCTAATAAAACTTCTCATGACTCTGTTACCCGTGTAGAATTTTCATCCTATTAGAAAAATAGAATAATTTCCTTTAAAAAATTTTTCTGTCTTATCCATGTTTTGACAGCTCACCTTGGCAAGATTCAGGCAGATATACGAGCATGTGAGTTTCTTATAGACATATGGAATCCTGTGAGTGAAGATAATGGTAACTCCTGTTGACAAAACTACATTAAGCCCTAGTAGACAAATTTTACAAATTATATAAGCATTTATGTAAACTGTACGAGACTTTTTTTTCCAATTATTGCCCTTTGGATGCCCCCCCCATCCTCTGGTTTGTTTCACAGTAGTGAGATATTTAAAAAAAAGTCACCTGAGAAGATGAATAGATTGATGCCAGAGTTGACTGATGGATGGGATTCTAGGTTTGGGGTTTATCAAACTGTGTAAATGAAATTTGATCCCAAAAAAATAATGTAGTTATTGGTTTATAAAAATTAAGTATTAATGGTACTTGTTAGATTTTGTTAAAAAAATATACCTGTATATAAAAAATGGTGTACCCTGTACACAGGTTTAGAGTTGACAGTGCAAATTCTGGCATTTGTTAATGGATACCAAGATGCTTAAAGGGAATTTTGTAAATTTTTAATCTATTCTAGGACACTAAGAGGAATAAAGACATTTGTGAATCGGTGCTAGAACATACCCGTATCGGAGTAATTTTGGCATTTGGATTTGTATCCCAGGTCACCTAAGCAGAATGTTGTACAGTACAGGTAGTTACATGTGTAGTTAATGCATCCCAGGCCATTGATGGGGAATTATGACATACGTGATTATTTTCTGAGACACCTCAGATGTATTATGGAATGTATGACAATACAGTACTGTACACTTGAGGGGTATTAAAGAGGATAATATAGTAAAGCCAAGATGTGAATCTATATTGTGAATGAGACAATAGAACTCTCACTAAGTGAAGAAGTTTCCCATGGATAAATAACTTTAAAAATTATATATATTTTTTTTTTTCAGACTATCCATACTAACATGTTCGGGGTAAGCATTGACTTTCCACATTGGCTGACCAATGATTAATTGCCTGGTTTGTATGTTTCGTGAGGTGGGGGAGGAATGGACCCAGCAAAGTTGCTGGTAGGGAATTTCGAGGCCACCAGTCTGTGGTTTATAAGTGGCGTGGATTGTAGAAGATGATCCGAATATTTCTCGAGTAATAGATGAGGGATATCCTGAACTGGATTCATTTGAAAATTTAAATTTATCTCTATAAACTTGGGTCCACACATTGTGTTGGAGTTGTAATTAACCGAGACCTCAATTTTCGTACCTAAGTTTCTGGGCTGCGTATATAAGTGCATTTTTTATGTAATAGTTACCATAATTTTTACTATTTGAGAGGATTCCATATTTAGTGTGACAAACAAATGTTTGTTTGCTTTTAAAAGTGTACGAGTTTTAAATAAAACACGTGACACTAACTGTTTTAGTGTCCTAAAAAATGTTGTATGCTGGGCAAAACAATGGGGCTTGTGCTTTTGATGTATGTATTGTGTTTAACAGTTTGGTTTTCAGCTTTTATGAAACAGTAAACTATGAGTGAAGTAAACTGCTTTTAGCTTAGATATGATATAACTTCGAGCAAATTATCTACAGTATTTACAAAGGAATAGATGTGCTAAGTCTAGCCAAGAAGTGGAATTGATACCAACAGTATAACATGAGCCTCTTGCTGTCTCTCTTATAATTTTTACCTCAGCTGGTCTATCACAGATACTTGTGTGTGCCCTAGTCTTAACATGGACAACGTACCTGTATAGAAAATAAATAAGAAGGCAGGAATCGGCTTTGCTTAAATTGACTAACAATGTGTTGAGCTTGCTTCACTTTGTGCCGAGGACCTCTTCGTCCACACTTGTGTAAGGTGGCTCGATTTTGTTTAAATTTATGTCCCTTTGAAAGTTATATCTATTCTGAGTTATAATTCGATATTATTGGCATCTCATATAGTATACTGTACTGTCTTACAATGGTTGACAAAAAGCATTTTCTGTTCGTGTTTTAACCAAAAACCACCGTTTGTTTTTTAACTTGTTTTAATGTTGGTTTTAATAAGTTTTACGTATTTGTTGCTCTTTTTATAACTGTTTATTATGCTACGAATCATAAACATTATATTCAGGGTTATTTAGCAATCATTATATTCTTTTCAATAAAACAAAAAATCACTTTACAAAGGCTAAATTTGAAAAACACAAACTCTGATCCATCATTCACTCATCCTACATGCTTAAAGGCAAAAATTAAGTTTACTATAAGTTCATCTTAAGTGCATGGAAATTTTTTTCTAATTTTACAGTTGAAAGTTTTGAAGATTTTATTTAAGTACAGTTGGAGAGAGAGAGAGATGGGCAGTGGCAACTTGGCTCCCCTGGGCCCATATAATACATGATCTTGAACATATTGGAAGCAGAGGCTCAGAGTCTAAACAGAAGCAGTTACCAGTTATACTGAACAGTGGCGACTTGGCTCACTTATTATCGGGATTTGAGAAAGTGCAGCCCTGTAAGAAAGCTTATTACCACCACTTTCACCAGTGTATAATAGTTCACATCCAAAATAGAAGATCTCCCACCCACATTTCAGGATACAATCATTCTGCCAAATTCTAAAATAGATATGTTAAGCCTCACTATTTCTTCTAATATGTCATGGAAGCCACACATCCACAACATTGCTAAAACTGCCTCCCAAAAGCTGGGAATGCTGTATAGATGCAGTAGCTACTTTACTCCTGAGCAGTTGCTTCAAGTTTATAAGGGATTCATTTGCCCTAACTGGGAGTACTGCTCTCATATTTGGGGTGGCTCTTCTTCTGTCCAACTGTTAGATAGGATGGAATCAAAGGCATTTTGTCTTATTAACTCTCCTCCTTTAGTTGATAATCTCCTCTCTTTCTCTTTGCCACAATGTTGCTTCACTCTCTCTCTTTTACAGGTACTTTAACGGGCAATGTTCAGTGAATTTGGCATCCTGTATACCGCCGGCAAGACAGTGGGCTCGTAACACTCATCTTGCCTGCGGTGCCCACCATTTCTGTCTGGATGTCTGTCACACTATAATAACCTGTTATAGTACATCCTACTTTCCTCACACAGCCACACTGTGGAATGCTCTGCCTCCTTCTGTGTTTCCATACTCTTACAATCTGTCTTACTTCAACAAGCGAGTTTCCCGGTATCTTCCTGGTGTAGAGTAATATAGTCTTTTTCTCTTCTATGTTTAATTTCTTTTTACTCTTATTTTTTGCTCCCCAGGCCCCGTTGTGGGTCGATGACCTGTGCCAGAGTGGGCTATTCCCCGTAAAATAAACAAAAACATAACGCATCTCTGTCCCACACCCACATTTATTTCAAATGTTTCATTTTCTTTCCCATTTAATCTTTCTGTTGCCCTGCTGTTCTCATCGAATGCTTTTACAGTACTTCATTTAATAGCCTTCCTCCCACCCCATACACTTGTGATTCCTCCCACCAAGTTTTTGGTGTACAGTACATAATGATTATGGTATAATCCAATAATAAAGAAAAGTGAATTGGATACAGTACAGTAATGATGTTTCTTATGAAAAGTTGTAGTGCTTGATTTCAGTGTGAGACTGCGAGGTCTATCCAACACGCGTGGTTTTAATTTTGTAGTGACTTACCATCAGTAAGCCTATTGCACTGTACATGTATACATTTTTAGATATTTTGTTTTCTCTGGATTTGATTGTTGATGAGGTTTCTCTGAAGAAGAAATGCAAAATATATCCATTTTACATTTTATTCTTTCCAATGAAATCAGGTGAATCTCTGAAATAGTAAACATATCAGCATTCCCACAGTCGAAATGCCTTGAGTCAGTGTCTTGCCACTGCTGCACCTTGCAATCCTGTGAGTCATGATAACTATAATACTACAAATATTTTCTTTTTACCTTCAGTTAACCACTTTCAATACAATACAGTATGTTGACAGAATTTTCATTATAAACTGACCAGATCCGGTACAGGGAGCCCTTAGATGTCTATCAGCACCTTGGTATGTTTTGCTGTGAAAAATATATAGCAGAATTTTCTTAAATTGAATCCTTGTAAATCGTGGACTGTCTGTTCCTAAACTTATCCATGCCATTCCTTTACATGGAGGCATGTGCTAAGAATGCCATTATAAGTGGAGTTAGAGGCCAGCCACACATATAACAAAATTACAGTGAGGATTTCAGACATCAGTAAACCATGCTCGTACATGCTCATGTATATTATACGGACTCGATATGTCATCATAATGAGGCCCTTCTTTATTTACTGATGACCAAACTGTTTCATTCTGGATTTTCAGATATTAAATCGCTGCTTTGTTTTAACTTCAATTCTGTACACCCATCTCATTTTGATTCTGCTGAAAGTAGGCTATAAATATTTACATAAGGATATTGAAATAATTTTACCATTTTTGTGAATGGGTAATCATGAACTGCAATTAATTTGTTTCTGCTCAGTGTAGCATATTGTGAAGCTTTAATTTATTGTGTGTGGTGTTTTACATGTAGTGTCCTGTTTTTTATTTGTTTATAACAAAAGAAAAACATAAGTGTATAGTGAATACAATCACTGAAATTGCATCCATTACACCATAAATGATGACATCTCAATTTAAATGTCATAAATTAATTGTAGTGTCAACCTTGGTGTAAATTCTTTGAGTTAAATATTAATTACAGTAACTGCAATTTTGAAACAAGAAAATTAAGTCTATTGTTTTCATTCTATCATCTCCAAATATAATGTATTTTATTAGTTTCAATCTTTATCTAAAATTAAAAAATTATCCCTTCAGTTTTTCGCGAACATAATTATGGTATGTCGATTTTTTTAATTGAAATTATCATCAGCAAGTTGTAATTATTCTGATAATAATTGTATACCATATTAATAGTGAGAGCGTGGTGTTGATTGCCTTGTATTGTTCCACCAGCTCTGAGGGAACGTGCTCTGAGTGGTGACCGGGGTGTGCCAAAAAATGCACCAGGAAAACGTGCGAAGTGGCATCTAGGTAAGTCACCATTTTGTGCTTCGACATTCTTAAAAAATTTTTTGGATAACTGGGAATTGTTTTTTGTAAAATGAAATATAAATTTACTGGAATTAGTATTGGTTAATGTTCATGTTAAAAGTACAGCAGCTGAGTGGATATAGCCCTTTTATTTTGTCTAAGGTTGCTAGATTGGCCACAAGGCATCCTTAGTTCATTCAATTGTAAACAGATACCTAACATTACAGTTGGAGAAATGATGGCAATCAAGAGTAGTGCTGGCCACACTGCCTCCTTGTCTTGTAAAAAAAATAGCACAGTGTACAGTTTGCTCCATCTTCACTGCTCCTTATGGGCTGTCAGGGCAGTAGGATTCACTTTCTTAATCTTGATGTGCAAATTATGAGTTTCAGATGTCATTATTACTGAGACTTATATAAGCTCTTTAAATTGAAGTATTCAGTTAAGTATATTGAAATTGCTACTTCTTAATGTTGAAAATGTCTTGTTACTTGGTTGACAGGTATTCGCTCCCAGAGTAAACCCCTGGACATAATGAGCGAGGTTTACAAGGCTATGAAGGTCCTTGGCTTTGTAAGTATAATGTGATTTATTGTGGTATTTAAATGTATAAAGCTCATCAAGAGTGGCATTTTACATTAAATTTTATATAATGTATTTTACATTATTGCTCTTTTGTTTTTGGTGCTTCAGTTGCACCTTTCATGAAGTCTTAGCTTTAGGTGCTTCATCTGCCTGATCTGTGAAGCACCATTCTATAGTTTATGCTTTCTACTTAGACAAACTTTAAGAATGTAGCATTTATGTCTTCTTTTGAATTCTGCTACCTGGGTGACATGATCATTGCTGGAGTTGGTGCCAAAGCTAGCTCGATTCCAAGAGACGAATCCCAAACTCGCCAATATGTTATGAGACGATGTTGACAAAAACAATTATTGGCAACACTTTTACCTTGCAGGAATGGAAGGTCGTCAATCCTTTTCACGTACGTGTGCGGCGAAAAAATCCTGTGACCAGTAATTACGTGCACATGGCTCTGCAACTGTATCAGGTGGACTACCGGTCACATCTACTTGACTTCAAAATAATATCCAATGACCCTAATGACACTACTATAATTGATAAGAAATGTAAGTGGTATAGGTATTAAGTTTTCAGTACAAAATACAGTATTTACACCTTAGCAAAATATATCTGGTAAAGCAGTTGTGATAAATGACAATACAGGTTGAGAATCCCCTATTAGAAATCCTTGGGTTGTCTGTCACAGATTCTTGAATTTTTTGTTTTCTGGAATTTTGGCATAATCAGCTTGAACCTCTCTGGGTGAACTACCCTGCACTCTAGTGGGAAAGAGCTTGTATGAATTAAAAAATCTGACTTCAGATGATAATAAGTACACGACTGTACTTAATTTTTGAATATTAATTAGTTTGTGCTGGACTTGGGAAAAAGAAAAATATGCAAGTTCTGTAGATAGATGGTATGGAGTGACAGAAGTTCTCTCTTGTCATGCTAAATGCAATTTATAAGTTAAATTTGTTTTAGATATCCATGAATCATGTCTGTCCTTTGTTAATTTATTAGCTGACACATTAAAACATTATTACTGAAGTGTCTTTGAAGTTGTAACACTGTACTTACCTTCAATTTTTCTTTCATCATAGCTGGAGACGAAGAAAACCAAAATCCTGGACATCATGTCATGGAGTTCTTTGAGATGTGTGCAGCACTTATCACCGAACTGGCACGATAAACTGAATTGCCTTGCAGCTTCATTATTGAGACCTGTTGTGCCTACAGACTCATTCAGTGTATGTCTGATGATGTGGTAAATTGGATAGCCTGTTTATATGGTTAGCAATTTAAGTGAAATGTATAACTTCATATCTATTAGTTAACCTTTCTCCTACAATTGTAGGAGAGAGTGATACAAGACAGGTGTAGGTAGATATAGCAAAGGACTAAAACTACAGGTAGAATTAAATTACTCTTATCAGTTTCTTAAATTTTCAATTTGAATAGCTTATGAAATTAGGGTTTTATTCTTATCTCACTGGGCACAACTTAGAAATATTTACATAACACTAGATTTGGAATGGCAATTTGGAACAATATGTTGTGTTATTCATAAGGGAAAAATTACCATTTGGTATTTGCAAGATTGAAAGTTATTAAAGATGAGGCACCAGAATATTTTGTGGTGGGCTTGAGAAATGATTAGGTGCTTGCTTTTATATACAGTAGATTGTGTGTGTGTGAGTGAGTGAGATGATTTTTTTTGTGTACAGTTATTATTTGCCTTTTATTTGTTAAATATTAGAAATTACAAAAAAGAGGTGGACTGTAAATAGTTATATATGTGTAAATTACTATTTGCTTTTGTTTTTGATAGGAATGGACATATTATAATTATCATTTACAAGTAAGTAAATTCAGTGAAGTTATAAACCCTCAAATCTGGGACCCTTGGGACAAGACCAAACCAGTTTCAAGGCTTTTCCAGTTTCCTGGTACGACGATGTTACTCAGGGCCTACCAGGAGACTGTGTCAAGATTTGCCTCCACACACTCACACAAACTCAGTTGAATGATTGCTTTACATTTTGTATAATAAAATAAAATAAAACACAGTTGTATGCATACAGTACTGTATATTTAAAATAAAAAAAGATAGATTAAATATATTTCATTTAGAAGTTGAGATTTCTCTTAAGACGAGTTAAATAGGTTTGTTTACATCCCGGCAGCTTCTAGTGACTCACGACATTGCTAGTAGTAGTCAGTGAGGTAACTTACGTCAGATGCTGCTTTTTTGCACATAGCCCATGTGAGAACAAGTAGTGTGTGGTAACATTAGCCTCTGTCATAACTTACCTCAAACTATTGGTTTAGCCCTTAAATGACAGGATTGCCTATAGATGAATTTTTTTCCATTGTGGAAATCCTCTACTGTACAGTAAACCCTCAAGATTCACGAGTTTAACTTTCACGGATTTGATTATTCACAGGCACAACCATTGTATACCTGCTCATCATTCTTGGGCATGAGGTTTGGTTATTCATGGCTTGTTGACTCGTTTTCCCATAGTTCAGCAGGACTCTTGTGTTTATTGTCCACGACTGTACCGTGTGGCACGTCATGCATCATAGCTTGCTCTCTCGGTCTCCTGCAGCTCAGCTATTTGTTAGGCTGTTCTTGCTCTTTTTGGTGACTTATTGCCCTTAGTGATGCCTCCTAAGTGTACAATAAGTGGATCAAGTAAAAAAGTGGAGTTGCTTGGTCACCTTGCTAGGGGTAATACTGTGGCGGGTATGGGATGCCATTATGGTGTTAACAAGTCTATTATTGAGAAAGTTACACTATTTATGATGTATCCAGCATCACAAGAGGCTGATCTTACGAAAATGTATTCGAAAATGGACAGGTACTGACAGCGTTATGACCCCATAACCCCAGCCCTGTCAAGTCTTAGCCTCTATATTTATACAGTAATAAGAAAAAAATATATTGATATCTAATGTTAAGTTTCTTATAAGAAATAGTTTGTCTTGAAATTTTTCATTTCGCTGAAACATTGCAAATGGTTAAAGTACAGTTTATATATATATATATATATATATATATATATATATATATATATATATATATATATATATATATATATATATATATATATATATATATATATATATATATATAATTATTTTATTATTTTTTCTGTTACTGAATGTTATGTTGTTTATGATGAATTGTACACCTTAAGAGGCTGACCCATGTGGCAATACCTAACCCCCACTCTCCACCTGTTACATGTGCAATACCAACTCTGCTAGTGTTCATGGCTCTTGTTAGGCATACAGAGAATTTGAATACACCACTATTTAAAGGTGAGGGAAGCTTGTCCTTTTCATTAGAAATTAAAAAAAGCATTTTTTGAAACTGGCATATCTTCATGTCAGGACAGATTACTTATTTAAAAAGCCAGCTCTCGTTTAAGATTTAATTTGTTCAATATTAATTTCAAAAGCTGTGTGAAAACAATTGTATTTTATTAATAAAAATAAACAAAGATAATCAAGGTACAGTATTGGGCTATTTATTCAATGAAACAATAATTGTTTATGAACTCACAACTACTGGCAAATATCGTGACACTGAAGCTGTTGGGATGTAAACAAATTCATTTAACTTGCATTTAGAGAACTCAACAATTTTTACTTTGTTATTTAAGAAGTAAAACACCTTCAACTGAGCTTGTCTGGAAGCAAAACTTGAATTAGCAAGAGAAGAAATTTTTACCTAAACCATGAAAGAAAATGTCTGGCTTTTGAAAATCTGTGGTTGAGGGTCTGTATTGTGCTGTATTGTATCTGTATTAATTTGTGAAATTTTGAAGGCTTTATAACTATCTTTACCCATATCTTAATGCAATTTAATTATACATCTTGAAGATAATATGTCTATTAATATTGTACTGTAATCTGCAAAGTTAATATGAATGTTTATTATACTGCATTTTATAGTACAGTACTGTACATAAATTTAGCCATGTTACAATTTGTTGTGTGGGCCTTACATTATTCACACTCTTTAGAACACAGCATTCTTTTTTTGACACTTGGCCCTCACTGTCCAGTATAGTTAACAAAATCAATTACTGTACAGGGGGCCCCCGGGTTATGTTCATGAGGACGTTCGTAAGTTGGATTTGTGCATACCGTACTTACAGAGCAATGTTTAAAATCCCACTAAATCCTTGCCTAAGTCCTAATATACATCTAAAGTCACTTAATTTAAGACAAAAGAAGAAATAGAATGACAAACTACATTAAATTAAAGTAAAAAAATAAGTACAGTACAGTACTATAAATAACTATCTATTCATAAATGGAAGAAATATATTGATAGATATACTGTAAACTGTATATATATATATATATATATATATATATATATATATATATATATATATATATATATATATATATATATATATATATATATATATATATATATATATATATATATATATATATATATATTGTGTCTATACATTTACAGTACTCTTCAGTGTTTAAATGTTTGGATTGAGTATATTAACATGTTGACATCTCATATATTCATTGTTTCAGTTGCTTTGGATTTATCGGACTTGATTATGATTGTACATAAATATTCTCATACTGTGGGTTTTGGGCTTGAAAACGCAAAATTGGGGCTATTTTTCAATTCTGCTTGTGTTAAATTTCTGCCTTACAAACGGTTTGATTTTAATCTTGCATTTTTCTTTAGTGATAGTTATAAATCACATGCCTAGTTATATTATGGTTAAAGTACAAAATAACATTGACTTAGCTACATTCATTTTGTTATGCTTTATGAAATTATATATATCCTGTTGCCTTAAAAAGAGGTAATTAAAAATTGCAATGTTTTCATTTTATATTTACTGCACTTGTAATGTCTTTTACAGTACAGTATTTAAAAGATGAAGTAGGCAGAATATTTTTCAATATTACCACCTAACAAATAATCTAAATTGGGATATTGGGATATAAAGATGATACTGAATGTGAAATTCTTTGACAACAAAAACAGATAAGCAGGTCTTCTGTGAACAAGTTGTTACACAATCTCAAGTCTGGATTGGGAACTAAATGAATGTTGCCTGTAACCAAATTGACCTCTTTGTTTTATTCCAATGTTTCATGATATACCTAATATTTTTATCCTTTCCTCTTATGATCAGTCTTGACTCATATGATCATTTAATCCACTTTTCTCTAAAAACTGTCAAAGATGGTAAATTTACTTACTTGGACACAATTTCACATCAGTCTACTTTTGTGTGTGTTTACTCTAATGCATGTCTTCACCTTTAAGAGTAACAGTGGATATCTCTATATTTAAACTTTAAGTCTCACAATTTTGGTGTATTAAGGGAATATTGTGATCTGTGAAGAATAATTCTAGCTGGTAAGATAGTTTAAATATTTTTGTATCTGTTTCATTTATCTCCATTGTAAATATTGAAGAAGGTGAGTGGCTTCAGCAGGAGACGAAGTAACAAGTACTGTACAGTATCAACTAATTCTAACAGAAAATGCCCTTAGTGTAAAAACATGTAAAATTACAAAGAACTCCTAGTTTTGGCAATTTGAGTATCATTGTATTTTCAGATTTTCCTCTACACTTTTTTCACTTTTAATTTGTTGTTTGTACAATAGTATATCAGATTCTCTCGTTTTGTATTTCCTTAAATTACTACAGGATACGAGTCATAGTAGTAGTAAACAGTGTGTAGGGTTTTGTATAATGGTACTGTATAAAAAATCATTGTTTTATTGAAGAACTTAAATATGATAAAAATATTAACCTTTGGTATTAGTCATTAATTAATTAACCTTGTTCATTGTGTACCTTATACAAAATAAATCGATACGATCATCACAAAGAGGAGATGGGACGCCACTGTTATCAGTGTTTACACCCATAATGTCCGTTATCCACCTGAAACTGAAGAAAATAAGACCCTGGTTGTTGTAATGAATATGTGGCCCACGATTCGATTGCAGAGTAATTAGTGGCCAAAATGACCCTTGAAAGATTTTACCGACATTTTTCAATGCTAATTACTCAACTAAGGGTTTCTTTATTTGAGTCCCCGTCTGAAGAGTCTGTTCTCATCACTTCAGGACGTCTGAGTTCTCCATTTTCTCTCAATCTTAGAGTGCACCCCTGAGACTTGGTTATTCCTTAGTATTGACACAGAATTACATACCACCGCTCCCTTCCTCCACATACTACACCTCCCTCCCTCCACATACAACGACTCCCTCCCTCCACATACCACGACTCCCTCCCTCCCTCCCTCCACATACCACGACTCCCTCCCTCCCTCCACATACCATGTCTCCATCCCTGCACATACCACTTCTTCCGCCCCATCATGGAAGTAGATTATCGACTTTTTGGGAGATGTAAACATGTTTTCCAAAGATTTATCATAGAAAACGGGAAATTTGTATCACAAAATGTGAAATATTTCTACTTAATGGAAAAGTTGGTTATCTACTTAATATAGAAAACGGGAAATTTGTACCATAAAAAATGGGAAATATCTACTTTCCAGGAAAGTTGGTTATCTACTTTCCAGGAAAGTTGGTTATCTACTTTCCAGGAAAGTTGGTTATCTACTTTTCGGGAAAGTAGATTTTCGACTTTTCGTGGAGGTAGATTATCGACTTTTGGGGAGATATTAACATATTTTCCAAAGTAGATTATCATAAAAACGAAATTTTTTTGGGTTGTTTAACGAAATTGTATCATACAAAATGGGAAATATCTACTTTCGGGAAAGTTGGTTTATCTACTTTCCCGAAAGTAGATAGATTTTCTACTTTTCGGGAAAAGTAAATTATCGACTTTTCGGAGTAGATTTTCGAATTTTGAAATATTACCTAATTTTGCGAAGTAGATTATCATAGAAAACGGAGAAATTTGTATCATAAAAATGGGAAATATCTACTTTCCGGAAAGTTGGTTATCTACTTTCCGAAAAGTAGATAGATTTTCTACTTTTCGGAAAGTAGATTATCGACTTCCTCTACACTACCTCCCACCTCTACACTACCTCCACCTCCCCACTACCTCCACCTCCTAATACCTCCCACCTCTACACTACCTGCCCAACACTACCTGCACCCACAACACTACCTCCACCTCCTACACTCCTGCACCTCTACTACTCCACCTCCACACTACCTGCACCTCTACACCTGTACACTACCTCCACCTCTACCTCCTACACTGCCTCCCACCACCACACTACAACACTACACTACTTGCACCTCTACCTCTACCTCCTCTACACCACTACACCTGTACACTACGTGCACCTCTACACTACCTCTACATTATCTCACTACCTCCACCTTCCACCTCTACCTCCTGCCACACTACCTCCACCTCTACACAACCTCACTTTTACCTCTACACTACCTCCACCTCTGCACTACATACACCACCACGCTACCTCAAATCTACCTCCCTCCTCTACACACCACCACCACCACACTACCTCCCACCTCTACACTACCTGCCTCTACCTGCCTCCTACCCACCTCCTACTACCTGCACTAAACTACCTGCCTTTACACTACCTGCCTTTTACCTCTACCTCCCACCTCTAAATACCTCCTCTACATACCTCCCACCTCTACCTACCTCCACCCACCACACTACCTGCACCTCTATACAACCTCCACCACCACCTCCACCTCTACATTATCTCACCTCTACACTACCTCCCACCTCTATCTACCTCCACCTCACACTACACCCTTACACTACCTCTACCTCCCACCTCTACTACCTCCCACCACCACACACCTCTACTCTTCCCACACCCACACTACCTGCACCTCTATACAACCTGCATCTCTGCACTACCTCCTCTACACTACCTCCACCACCACACTACCTGTACCTCTCCCCTACCTCCACACCCCTACTGCACCTCTACCCTGCCTCCCACCACCACACTACATGCCTCTACACTACCTGCACCTCTACCTCCCTCCCACCCACTACCTCCCTGCTCCAATACCTCCAACTTTACACACCTCCACCTCTCCCCTCCTCCTCCTTACTACCATCCCACTACCTCCACCTCTACACTACCTCCACCTTTACACCTCCACCTCTACCCAGCCTGCATCTCTACACCTCCCACCTCTACACTACCTCCACCACCCAGCTCTACACTACACTCCCACCACACTGCCCCTCTAAACTACCTCCCACAGTGCCTGCACCTCCCTAACCTCCACCTCTACACCTCCACCTCCCTGCCTCCACCTCCCACACTACTGCACCTCCTACAACCTCCATCTACCTGCCTCTACACTGCCTCCACCACCACACTACCTCCACCTCCTCCACACTACCTCCACCTTTACTACCTCCCACCTCTACACTACCTCCACCACCCACACTACCTCCCACCTCCTACAACCTCACTTCTACTACCTCCTCTACATCCACCACCACGCATACCTCAAATCTACACTACCTGCACCTCTC